AACTAGGCGAGGGAGCACAGCTGAGGCATTATGATCACTCAAAACCTTTCAGCATTTGCTTTGCTCTTCGCAGTGATGTGGATATAATATTTTAAATGCTGGGCTGTACTTTGGACCAGTTTACTGCAGTCACTACGTCCCCATTGCATTCTGATAAGGAGGCCACAAACCCCACACAATATGGACGATTAATAAAATGGCCTTTACCCTCATCGGTGGTTTTGGCAGGGGAGGTAATCCTGAACAACCTGGTGGCTGATGAAGCAGATCTGAGCTTAAGCAGAGGGTTGGCAAAGCATAAGCCAAGGTGCAGATACACTTCGGGCCTCCCTATGTAAGGACTGGCTTGGATGAAGGGTGGATGAAATTCTGTTGTGTGAGAATCACTGTTAAAAGCTCTGGGGTATCTTAATGATTCACGAGTTTCAGAGAAATTGTGTGTTGGTTTTCAACTCTTACCAGCATAACCCTGATTAATCCTAAAATGACAGTTCCATTATAAACCTCCAGCGAATTCTATCTAGCCTTTAAATACAAATATGGATTTTAACAATTAATTCTTTTTTTTTTTTAAGATTATTTATTTATTTATTTGAGAGAGAGAGAATGAGAGAGAGAACATGAGAGGGGGGAGGGTCAGAGGGAGAAGCAGACTCCCTGCCGAGCAGGGAGCCCGATGCGGGACTCGATCCAGGGACTCCAGGATCATGACCTGAGCCGAAGGCAGTCGCTTAACCAACTGAGCCACCCAGGCGCCCAACAATTAATTCTGAAGTTGACTATCCACTGTGGGAACTGACATCTCATATTAAAAGAGGAGATAAAGGAACCCTCTAAAACTGCCCTTGCAGCTTTGCACGTGCAACCAGGGGGGCTAAAGCATTTCCCCATCCAAATTGCGTTTAGTCATGCAGCTTCTGGGCAGACCTGGGCGCTGAATTTAAGAAATGTGAACTCTTCTCTGGGAGCCACATAAACTACTCAGCTGACCCAGGGGACGTGAAACAACTCTTCCGGGGTACCATTTCACAAATTATTGGTGCAAAAAAATGCTAAGTCCATTGAGGTATAAAAGCCCTAGCCCCTATGGGGCCAAAGTCATTCTGTTTTGGTGCCATGGCTGATACAAATTACAATCTGCCCACAAGCCTGAGGAAGATAGACAGGAGAAATAGGACTGCAGGTGAGCCAAGATTCCAAATAACATTCAAAATAATCTTACCTGTCTTCCTGACGTTGGCCATCTTGAGAGCTACAGGTGAGGGTGGGATGTTTGAATGTGAGTGTATGTGTATGAGGTTCAGTGTGGGGAAGTGACAGAAGCAGGGGAACAGGGCAGGAGGGAAAGATGGGGTATAAAAGCAGGATATATTGTTGTGAGCAGGCAGGGTTATGCTTTCCTTGGGATATATGCAAATGTATGGATCAAATTAAAATGCAAATAGGTCTAATCATTTTCTCAAACTATACATGTCTAAACTAAATGGTACACTGGAAGAGAAAGTCCACCTTAGATGGGTGCTGAGAGTCAAGTACATATACGTATTTTGATATCTGTTAAATGCTGACCCAAGTCATGGCAAAAAGTAATCTGAAAGCTTATTCTGTTCAGAAGAGGTAGCAACTGAGTCCATATTTCTTCTTTACATTAGTTGTCCACAAAGTAGTCATATATAAACTGGACATTTACCTCTAGGAAATCACTTTGTTATTACAGAGAGTAAAAAAATGCCATAAGAGCTCTTGGGAATTCTCTCTGACCTCTGAAGTTAGACTGAGCTACAGTGGATTGAGTAAATTCTAGAGTTTCTAAAATATAGGGATACTCAGTCTGCTCTTTTGTGAATCGAGAACATGTTTTCTCTCTGCTTCCTGCTCTGTGTGAAATGTGAGACAACAACCATCTTCCTAGCATAAAAAGTTCCTCGGATGTTTTGTTGAGAATCTGTAAACACTTCTCAGCATAGCCCTTGTCTGGTGGCGAGTGCTTGTACTGAATAAATAAAACCTAAATTCATTTGATTCCACTCTTTGTGGTCAAGATTCTTTCAGTAATTTTAAGTTCCATTAAATCACTGTTTTTACTTGAAGTGAAATTCTGCTACATTTCATTTGGTTTCTTTTCATGTTTTCCCTTAAGTTTTTTCATATGCACTATGCACTCTTAAGGCAGGAAGTAAATGCACTATAAAACTGCTAAATTCTAGAAATTAAACTGTTCAGGTTAATAGTGCTTCTTTATTAGTGGAAAGTATGTTTCATGCCCATAGAACACTACATAGCATAAAATGAAGAGAAAGCTACTAAAAAGCTCAAGATGGTGATGGGGGCATGCACTAAATGGTAACCCTTTCAAATGGCTTCATTTGAAACATTCAGAAAAGAACTAGACTTGCTCATGAAGCCAGAAACAGAGATTAAAAGGCAGCAAATAAACAAGGACCCTTTCCACTTATGGGAACTTGTATTGGGAGATACAAGCTAGAGAGCCAGTCACACTACAGTATTTGTATGTGCTGGGAGAGTTTGAAAAGGATATAAAATTAATGTATAAAATACCTAAAGTATGGTCCTTCAGTGTTTTTATTCACATCTTCTACCCACTTAGCTACATTATAGTCTCTTTTGAACCATGGGTTTAAATACCTGCAGAAAGCAATGGAAGGAACAAAGAAAGCAGAACAAGATAGAAAATCTGAAAATACACAGCACAAGCTTAGCAAGGATGTTCTTCACCCTCCAAATGCAAGTGACTATGGCAAATAAACCAGGATGGATGCTGGGGGTTATGAGGCAGTCTGTACGATGACATGAGAATAAACTCAGCTACAACGAGGCTCGAGGCATTCTAGAATGTATTCAACATTTCAGGGAAAGCCTTGGCGGGGGTTTCCCCAAGGGAATCAGAAGCTGTCTTCCAATCATAGCACCGTCAGAGGTCCCATTCACCCACCTCCAAAGTGGCTTTTTCCAGGCCACCTCTCATTTGGCTCCTTGGTTTTCAAATGATAACGATGCTTTTTGAGAATATTCAGATGGCTGCAATTCCAACCTGGTGTTTGGGTATATAACACCCCAAGAACAATTAAAAGGAGCAACGTTCTCTTTCCAATATGAAAAAAAAAAAAAAAAAAGACTTTACATGGCTTCCGTCTCACTCCAGATAGCAGACCCTAGGCTGGAGTTAACAAGAAAGGTGCTCCAGTTGGCTATACAGAGAGCAGGAAGGGTCCCGCTATTCTGATCCTGGAGCCCCCATACACATTAAGTGTGGGCCAAATAGGTCTCCAGGATCTTTAGGTTGGGTTCAGCAATTTAGTTGTAGCTGCAATATTCCTTCTTCCTTTTATGCACTCCAGACTAACGTGTTTGTGTTTCCATTAGGAAATGGGCCTCAGAAGTTGCCTTCTGAATGTCTGATCATGAATTATGTGAGTGACTGCCAGAAGATACATATGACCTTCATTAGCATTTCCCTGATGGATCTGGCAAAGTCTCCATCGGAATTACTGCGCAAAGGAAAATTTAAAAGATGGTAAATTGGGAGTGCAAGTTGTTGTTGTTGTTGTTGTTGTTTTTCCCCTTTGATTTGAACCCAGGGAGCCAAGCAAAAACACATCCCCTTTCAGAATGTGCTCTTGTAAAATAAATACAGATTCAACAAATCCAATGTTGGAACATTTTGGAGGTTGTACTGAATTTTCTCATTTAAAAAAAGTAACTTCTAGAGACACTACAGATAACGAAGATGCAAGCTCTATCAAACTTTGCAAGTTATTTGGAAAGAAACCAGGGGAAAGATAAAATACACTATTCGTTTGGGCTTAAACTTTGCTTCTTTCCGCCATGTTTGGTTTTAGTTTGTAAATACATTTAAATCATGACCACATTTCTGGTTATATAAACAAAATTAGACTACTTTTTCCATAGCCCTTTCCCTCATTTTTAGCTATAACCAATGCAGCTCCCTCCTAAGGGAAGGGTTTAGTTGCTTTTTATGTCTGTAAGACCATTTTTGCTTAGACCGTGTCCCCTGCCTCGGGAACAACTCGAGCTAGTTTTGCCTTTACCCACAATCATTGCCAACTTGCACTTTTCACAGAGATAGCCAATTAAAACTTGCGTAAAAACCTCCGCTGAGCCTTTGAACAAAAAGAAAAAGTCAAAACGCAAGTGCAGCCAGAGATGAAGGCCAGTGAATGCTCCGGCCTGGGGAAAACCCGAGAAAAAGCCCATGCAGCTGTTATCAGGTGAAACATAGCCACACAGCAAACTGAGTCACCCACAGGCAGCTTCCAGGAGGAGACGTGTGTTCCTTTCACTGACAATCTCAGAAGCTCAAAGGGCAGATGCCATGGCTGTTCCATGAAACCTACAGCTGCATGGCTTGGCTTGCATGTAATGGACCTTTCCCTCCGTTTCGGGGAGCATCTCAGAATGCTGTGATCACTTCACTAGAGGTCACTGAAGAGAGGTCTCAATGGTGGTTCCTTCTGGGGATCTGCCCGTGAAAGTGTCTTCACAGTGGGCTTCCTAGCATTTCTAGGTGGTGGGGGCAGAAGTGATGGGATTTTATCGAACCGCTCTAAACCTGTCTACATGGCTTGAGTTGGCTGGTAGCGCAACATGCAAAAATAAATGCATTAGACAGGGGAGAGCTCTTTGTGTTCTCCAGAATGGATAAGGCAGAGGAAAATTAGCTGGTGCTGGCTGGACCAGGACCATGTCCAAGCAGACGTTGGGGGTCAGTCAAAGATCAAATGACCCTGTTCTCAGCCAAGGAAGGGACTAGGAGGGAGATTAAGTGGCAGCCCAGAATGAAGGGGCAGGTGGAGACTGACCTGTGATCCAGACTCCCTGTCTGGGGGCTGTCAGAGCCCCCTGGGCTTATGCCTTGGGATGGGACTGTCTGGGCGAGGGAGTGCCCAGGCTCAGGTGCTTGGGGCTCCCTCCTGTAAAAACACAATATATAATACAAAGTCTAAGCCAAAACCTTTTTTCACATCATGTACAACAGTGAGGAAGATGCAAAAACTTTGAGTGGAAAAAAACAATACAATAAACAAGGACACTGTAGGTTGTTAATTAGCAGAGTATGCATTTGTGGTGAACGTTTTAATTCATGTCCTGATGTTTCATCATCCTTTGGGATGATGGGTACTAAAGGGGATGTTGAAATAATGGACTCAATGATACCTTTTAATCTAAAAAATAAAAAAGAGGGTCATTCTGCTCCTCTTATAGTCCCACAAATTATAATGTCATATCTGAAGCAAAAGGGATTATTTAGCGAATATGGAAAGTATAAGAAAATACTGTCAACATAACTCCTGATATGCTATATATTAGGATTCTTTTCAAGGAAAAACAAAAATATATAGATAGGTATATAGTGCCCATACAATAAGGTACGTGAAAATAATGGTCAACCTCACAGACTTGGTTCCATTTAATTAACATGAGTCATGTACCCAAATCTGAAAAGTCTGAAAAATCTGAGGGAGCCCTTAATACTTCTTCCTCACAAAGACGATTCCACCATGACATCTTAGTAAATACTATAGTGTTATCTCATAGGCAAGAAATTCCATAAGGGCTATCTAGTATTATAATTTTTATCATATGATATGAGTGGGAATTTTACATAAGAGTTTTAAAAAGTAAGTGACCATGCTAGAAAATACTGTATGAATCTTGCTAAACACCAAATGTTGTTTGGGTCCTAAATACATAGCTTTAATATAACATTGGTTTATTTTCACGGGAGTTTTCAAAGCCTTATTATAGGAAATGCTGTTAAAATGCTAACCAGTACATCAAGGAAGTTCTGAAGAACATTTTGCAGTTTTATCTGTATTCTTGTGAGCAACTAAGATGAGCTAAGGCGCTCTTTACCAGGTGACCTCATGCAAAACAAATCAAACAACATTCCAAGAGTTTATCTACAATGAGCCCTAAAGCATCCAAGCGCTTTGGGAATGTAGAAGATAAACTCGAACAGGTTAGTTATTTATGATGGAGTTCTATGATGTCATTCTGGACCATGCAATGGTTATCACTGAAACCTATCTATTGTTTCTAAAATAAAGTATCCTCTAGCAAACTTTTGACAGGCCACTTACAAGACAATACCATCAGCAGGAAGGTCCAAATTTCAGGGCACTGTTTTTATTCCTGGACTGAAAAAGGCAGGGTATATGATGGAAAAGCTAATATAAGTTCCGGACAAGCAGTTAACAAACACCTGCTATTCAGATTTTTTTTTTTTTTTTAAGTATTAAGGCATGAAGAGGCAAAGGTGATCCTAAAAACAATAGCTAGCAATGCAGTGAGAAAGAAGTTAAAAAAAAAGTTTAGGTAGGTCCAAAAAGTATGGTTAATTAAAACCTGGTAGCAAGGTCCAGAAGGATCCTGAGGGTGTGTTTGATTCCTCGAGGTGGGATAAAGGTTTGAGGAAGCTTGGTTTTGCTGTACTTTCTTAAGTGAAGAAACAATTAAAAAAAAAAAAGTGCATGGTGTTTACCTCATTAGAAATAACTTTAAATGTAATTTCTGATCCCACACTTCCCCCTTAAAAAAAAAAGTGTGGCTATCATTTAAAACAGATAGTGTTGCAATTAGTGACAATGATTCCGTTAAAGAGCAAGTTTTGATAAGTACCCTTTTAAATGTCCTCAGAAGGAAGATTTAAAAGGGAATACATATTCCATTAGTCTGAGAGAATGCTTAGATTGCAGCCATGAAGCCCTCCGGGCGGTGGTTCCACACTGTGAGCAGTCTCATGCTCTAGGACGGCGGGAATTTTCCCCTGATGCTTCTAGGCTGTGTGAATACTGGGAAGAGGAAGGGTGACCCTCTGAAATGGCTGGACCCCGGGTGATGAGAAGAAAGGAATGTTATCAAAATTCCCTTCAAAAGGAACCAAGACACCACAATGGCAGGTTACTGGAGGAAAAAGCCTGCAGCGAGGGTGGGACCCCCCACTATCAGTGAATATTGGTTTGGGTACAGTTGCGGAGATGCCTATGTAAAAGAGAAAAGCCATGGTTAATTTTAAAACGGCAAAAAGGAATTAAAAAGACAAAACCAAGACCAGAGGCATGGTTTACAGTTCTTTGATGATCTCGTTACTTAACCCTGCACACTAACTGCACAGGACCTTGGAATGCCTTTCTCCATTAGAGGTTTAGACTTACTCAGTTGAATTAGACCGAGGTCTAAATCGTTTGCCTCTGATTTTCTTTCTGTTGCCTCCCAGGTTACCTGAAAAAGACAGTTTATGGCTAGATTTGAATGTAAACAAACAACGGTCACATGGGTAATTACAGGGTACTTCAAGTGGTGTAATTCACAGCCAGCCCCTCCCAGAACCTAGGGCTATGTGTCGGGTACTCTGTATAGCCTTCTCTCACATTGGTGCTACCGAATCCAGTCATTTCCCATCCAAGAATAAAAGAAAGAAATAATAAATGCCCTCTTCTCTGTTGGGAGAAGAACTAAAGAGCATACATGAAGAACAAATCTTCACAACCAAGAACCACAAAAGAGAATTGGGGTTCTGCAAACAGATGCACAAGCTGTTCAGAAGGCCGCCGTATACCTTGCCAAGAGTTGCTTCGAGGTCGTCCATTTTCACAGATGTCTGAAATATGTTTTGTGTCCGGGATCCTTTCGCTCCAAGAATGAGAAAGTCCATTCGACCTGAAATTGAAAAGGCGTGTATACTGTTCAAAACTACAATCAAGTGAACTTAGTTTTAAAATCAGTAAGCAAAATTTCTAAGCATTACTGTGCATTAAATAAATCAAGAAAGAAAAAAATCTGAAATGAAAGAATGAAGAGACCATGAAAGTCTTCATGAAGAAGGCAGAATTACACAACATTCAATTTAAGAAAAGTCAAATACAATGGAACCCCATTACAATAGTGTACAATGGAAAAGTATCAGCATACCGTGCAAGCCAATTACATTCCCAACAACCACAATGAGCAAATTCACTTCATAGTTCAGTTACGTAACTCGAGCAGAAGAGTTATAATGGGGTCCCACTATAGATGTTTCTTAATTGTAAAGCAATGGTTTTCATTCAGATATTATGAGAACATGGACTTCCAAGAGATTTCATTAAGATCTGTTCAATTGAACTGGTCAACCTTTATCAAAGTAATATTTAGGTTTTCTTAAACAATAAAACTATTTTCTGAGAATTGGCATTTTCTCCACAAATATGCCCCCCCAAAAATGTAGTACTGTTAGTTAATTGTCCAATAACCAAACTGAACCAAATGTTTATCATGGAAGTGTCTCTCACAAAGCCCATGTACCATTAAGCCCTTGTCCCGTGTCCTACCATCTTAAATAAATTGTCTACAAGAAGCAAAACTTACACACCTACTTGTACCACATAAGAAAAGTGTTTTGACAAACTACATGTATTTAGGAGGAGTCATGTAATTTGATACCATTTTTAACTACTTAAAAGTCATAACCCACTCTTCTAATATCTGGGAATTATTCAAATCAGTATTTTAAGCTCTTCTTGAGGTACTTTAGACAATAGCACTATATTTAAAATTTTTTCCACACATCATTCCAGTTAATCGCTAATAATGTCTATTTTAAAAGGAGCCTTCTAATGATGAATGAAAATAAATGGAACTCAGCACAATTATTACACATTAATTCCCCAGATTAGGAGTTTTACAACATAATTTGCTAATTATAGAATGAATCCTATTTTGTCCAGAAGGACAACAGAAATTCTGCTGGAATCCATTGATTTCTCTATTTACCATGTTATTTAATTTAAAATTAAATATTTGACCAAGAAAATATTTATATACAGAATTTAGATAAACCTTATTATCTTAGCCAAAAATACCCCAATAGAAAGAATAAAAATTTTTGAACATCCTTCTATAGATCTGTACTCCTTGTGCAAAAACTAATATTTTTATTTTTCTCTAAGCTATGTTATCTGAGTAAAAACAATCCTTCATGCTTAAGACAGTTCCACATAAAGAAGAGTTCCCAGATCTACTGATTCTTTCTTTTCTCCGTTGTGATTATTTACAGAGTGAGATCCATTGCAGAATTTTTACAGACGATTCACTCCATATAGAATTCCAGAAGAGATCACATTTCTTCTAAATAAACTAGAAATTCCCCTTCAGTCTCCAAAGTGCCTACTGTGCCCAAAGCAATGTACTGGGCTATCAAATCTTTCTTTTCTATACATTACACCCCTATCACCAATTTTAAAGAAACTCTTCCACAGGAACATTTTAGCTTTCTTCAATGTGAATGTAGGTCTCATTTCCTAAAACATTCCAACTATTTATTTCTTCTACCAGTTTATTTTATTAAGCAATTATAAAGCATGCAGAATTTTAAATGGTCTTATACACCTTAAGATCCTGGAGCAAGAATATAACATCAAAGTTTAAGACATATAAATAATATATTAACCCCACTTGTCCTATTATAAAATTCAGGCAAATATTAAATATACTTAATTTGGCAACCGAACTCTAAATTAGAAAGTCTAGAAATAATCATTCCAGGAATAAAAGGCAAAAATCATAATATTCAATATGATTCACAGAGAAGCAATCTTTTTTTCACAGCAAGCTTAGCTTTGGTATATTTAAAATTTAAAAATATTCAACACAGCATTTATAGTACCAATTTAACAACTGCTTTACTGAAGCATGACAGTAACCTTTTTCTTTGACTACCCAACATGACATAAAGCTCACCATTTAAAATGTTATAAGTTACTATGTATAGTTTCTTAAGCCATATAAGAGCAAGATTGAAAAACCCTAGGATTTCTATGTAGATTTAGGATTGTTATTGGTTTGGTTTAGTTTTGGTTCAATTTCTGGCCTGATTTGCTTAACAAGTGGTTCTGAGCATATGGCATTTGGAAGCGCAGTAATCAAAGAACAAAGGATACTATTTTTTAACATTCAAGAAAGAAGGAAGAAGTAATCAAACCTGCTGCAAAATAATGAAATGTTCTGACTAATGGAATAATGTGTGATGGAACAGGTAGAAATCTGAAAATGCGACAGAAAAGCAGACCTCTTCTTAGAACTAGATGCTGAGTTTGTGCTGACTCCAGGAGGAATGTCGCTATAAAAAGAGTCGCCATCTCCAGGCTTTTTTACATAATCTCCCTGGGGTAACTGTCTAAGGCATAATAAACATTTCAGAGTCAGAAAACAAGACACACACATGAACACAGACATATACAAATATTCTTTTAGGAAAAAAGAGGTAGGGATAATGATCTACATGAATCAAATCTATAACAACATATAAGATTATATTTAATAAATGTGACAAGTTAAGTCATTCTAACTGTAGGTCAAAAATGCAATCAGTGAAGTCTATACAGTCTGGATGAATAAAGCCTTGCTTCAGGAGAAAAATATGGAAAGATGAAGTTTCTCATTGTAACTTTATTATACTTGGGAGATGTTGACTGAAGTTTTGTCTTTAAAAAAAAAAAAATGGTGCTGAAGGAAACATGTTGGGACAGACCATCCTTGCCCCAGATAAGGCACAGTTTTTTTTCACTGTGGTCAATAAACTATTCAAGATTTCCAAACATTATATAATGTAACCCCAAGACCAATTAAGTCCTAAAATAACGGAGGGATTTCTAAGCCATTTTCTATAATTTAATCCAATTAAATTCTTATTAATCTGTTCAATCTGGAGCTTCACTGTTCATTTAGGAGAAATAGGAAGAAACTGAAAGAGATTCCAACACCAATCAAAAATGTAATGCTATAACTACACAGTAGAATATGTAAAGGGAGATAATTCTGCAAGAGGAAGAAGGGGTTGAAAAATATATGAATTCCTGCTGAGACTATAGGAAGATACTTATAGGTAGTTGGTGGGTGACCTCGGTTCTCTACCTCCACTGTAGAAGGAACACAACAAAAGAAGATCCATTTAATCTGTACTATTATTGACCCCACTTGATCTGATTTTGAATTAACTAAGGTTGGAACAGATTTTTATTACTTTTCCTAACAGAGGAGGGTAGAAAACTCTAGAATGGACCACCTAGCCAACCTCAATAGCTAATCTGATCACCTGCCAATGCCTGGCCCCCAAAAAACCACCTGCATCCAAAACTTGATTCAGTTCCATTTGGTACCCTTGTGGGAGGCGATGGATTGAGAATTTTAAACAGAGTTATACTTCAATAGGTCTCCAACAAAGGCCAAATTTGCTAACTCCTTTTTCTACTTGATTTTTCCTTAGTGAGCATGCTTACCTTGGTTACTTGCTCGTGCTAAATTCTATCTTAAAAAATGCCACTTTCAAGGGCGCCTGGGTGGCTCAGTTGGTTAAGCGACTGCCTTCAGCTCAGGTCATGATCCTGGAGTCCCGGGATCGAGTCCCGCATCGGGCTCCCTGCTCGGCAGGGAGTCTGCTTCTCCCTCTGACCCTACCCCCTCTCATTCTCTCTCTCTATCTCATTCTCTCTCTCAAATAAATAAATAAAATCTAAAAAAAAAAAAAAAAAAGAAAGCTTTAAAAAAAAAAAAATGCCACTTTCAGATGTTTGCTTGCTTGTACCAATTCCTATTCTGTTTGAAACGTTGACAACACTTGGTCATTTGTTCTTTTGAATTACTTGAATACCTCCCTCATATTATTTCAATCCTATATACTCACACATTTCCACAAATCTAAAAAATTTTTTTCAACCCATAGGAAGCACATAGATAAATTTGTGTGATCCTCCCCTTTGAAGAAAGTCAAATTTCTCATTAGATTTGTAAGACTAATTTTAGAACTCTGTGATACTCTTTCAAAATATTTTTAACCCCTTAAGTGGCTTCAGCTCATAATTGTAACTTTTTTCTTTTTCCCAGTATATTATGAAACATTAATTTTATACAAAAAATAGTACAATTTCCCCATATTCACAGTGTTAATAATACAGGACAAATGATACATATTGTTATGCAAGAGATCTTTAATCTCTGGAATCACATTTTCTGCCTTGCCTCCTATGAGTAAAACATTCTGTCATGCTTGAAAAAAAAATGATCTCAAGAAACTCAGAGTTCTGTATGTCGCCTCAGGGTGGAAACTTTCCTTTTGGATCACATTAATATTTATAAAAGAATGCCATCAACATCATCTCCAACAATAATCTTTATGGTTAACAAATCCTTTTTCTCATCATCACCTTTAATAATAATCTCTATAAACTGATAAGATGTGCCTCACTAAATTCAAATTAAATGAAGACAAATTCCAACTACATCTGACCTTTCCCATTAATCTGTCCCCCAAATTACCTTTTCATTACCTGATTCTGGCATTCAGGCATTTACCAGGGCTCCCTTGGCTGAGGCTGCAGGCTTAAATGGACTACCTCTCACAATAGATGGGCCTCGTTTTGTTGCTGGTTTTGTTTTTGTTTTTTTAACTGCACATTTTACCACTCCTTCAGTGTAATTTCTCTGCAGGGCATGGTCATCTTTCACACAATGCACAAAAATTCTAAACACCAAACATATCATAAACCATGGGCTTCAGTCAAGGGGTTGGAAGGGAGTTTAAGCTTAATGAACTTCTGGGGTGTGGCCTTATTTTTATGGTGATGAGCAGATTAGATTCTTAGCTATCTCTATTAGGAAGACTCCAAAATACAGAAACTACTCTATATTCCCCTTAAAATCACATAAGGAATGCATGTAACTTTCTTCACATAGTAAATGAATAACAATGTTAATGACAGATTAAGAATTTTGTTAAAGATCTCTTAAGAATGATATTTAACATTCTTCACTGTCCAGTGAAGAATCATGTATCCATTGCCGATTACAACAAACTTACTTCTTCTTGTTTGAACTTTAGTGAAGATAGAGAATATCAGGTCCCCATGATCAATAAAATAACATTTCATCATTTCTTATATAAGATCATTAATGACTAAATGAGTCTTTAAATTTTTTAATCAAATTTCTTTTTCTAGTCTTTATGGCTTTCTTCTTAAATTTTTATCATCTCATGGAATTTTGACTCACGAAGTGATTACTACATTAGGTGGCTTGACCAGCACCAAGTTTTGTCATGGGATCATTACCTCATATTTCCCACATTATATGCAAATATGTAGATACACACACGAATTTTTATAAATAATGACTAAAATAAAAGCTTATTTAACTAAGTTCTTTTTCCTCAGAAAGGAACCCTGTTATGAGGGTAGTCTGGTCTTTCCTTAAAGGGTCCAATGAACCATAATATTTAACTTTAATCCTTACACAGACTCAAAATGAGAATACAATGAAAAAAACTTAAGTCTTAACCTTAATGCTGAAGGAGGCATTTCTCCAATGCTTTGTTGGTGTCTGGGCTGTCTGATATTAGAATTGTTACTTTACTGTTTTAAGAAATATTATATAATATGTACCAAGTCACACGGACAGATGCATGAATATCACTTAAATAATAATAATAATATAATTAATAATAATATAAAAACAAACTAAGATAGGTTTGAAAAAAAGGAGGGAGGGAGGTTCACAATCAGAAAATAAACTGGCTAAAACAGGTGAGAGAGAAATGAAATGGGGAAGGGGGTTTCTGCTTAAGGTACAGATCAGGAAGATATGATCTAATTATTTATTCTATTTCACATTAATCATAATGATGTGTGTTCATTTCAGACAAAGGAAGAGAATATTTCAGCTGAATATGGATGTTACATAAATCCAAGTTCAAATTAATGTTTTCTTATTCTATTGCTACTTGCAAACTGATCTGAAAACTAAAGCTCAAACTTATAATTCTTGTATCAAAGTATACAGTTGCTGGGGCGCCTGGCAGGCTCAGTTGGTGGAGTGTGAGACTCTTGATCCTGGGGTTGTATGTTAGAGCCCCATAGTGGGTGTAGAGATTGCTTAAAAATAAAATCTTAAAAAAAACCAAACACACAGAGTATACAGCTGCTAAATCCTAAAGCAATTATGATAGTATCAGCTGAAAATAATATGGAAGCCTTCGTCCCTGAAAATTTTAAAGAAAAAGATCAGCCATCCTTCTGACTACATGATGTATAAAAGAACTCTCCACGGTTCCTAGGTTACATGGTTCTCCCCTTCATAAGGTAACACTGGCAGATTTAAAGTGATACCATTCATGCATGGGGTTCTGCCTCTACTGTGTCCAGAACAGGGCTTCTGTTTTTATTAAGCAGTTTGTAAACAAAAAGAAAACAAAGGGTTGACAGACTTGCAATTAAACCTATCATGCCAGGTTATCAAGCTCCTTCACAGAATTACTTGCCTGACTTCTCTAATAATTTGAAAGTTATGCCTAATGGCTATCATTAATAAGAATCTGATAACTGGCTATATGTTTAATATGGTCTTGCATTTAGTGTCAGAGCAAACCTTTATGTTCACCCACACTTGCACCAGGTCAACCGGTATGTGTGGGCCTCATTCATGTGGATGAATGCGGCCTTTCTCTGTGAGAACAACCACATTCACCTCCTTCGTTTGAAGATCAGAGAAACACAAAGTCTTCAGAGACCATATACTAAGAACTTCCCTCACTATGATGCTTCACAGATTACATAGAACTTTATCTGATTTAAAAGTCGTGGGAAATTTAAGTGATTTCCCAAGAAATCACATCCTAGCAAGTGAATTTCTGATTCCTCGTCACTTAGTCCTCCCACCATGGAACCTCAAAGGAAAACCTTTAAATTTAAAGACAAAGACAACTCAAAATTCTTATTTCTATTTCCTAGCATCCTTCAGAACTGAACACATCTTTCTGAACATCTGAAAATATTTTTATAAGACTATACATTTCTTAATGCATGCTTTTTGGTCCACTGGCCTTTCCCTACCTGCTCTATCACCACTGACAAATATTCTCAAAAAGGAAAATCCTTCAGAAGATATTTATTAAAGTCCATTATTTGCTACTTCTTCATTTTGAGAATTATTCTACAAGTCTAAGACTCATTAGCTATAGACAAGGGCAAAAATAAATAAATATTGTAATGAAATATAGCAAAATACATAAAATAAATATCTGTCGAAGATGTGACCACTCTCAAAATATGAACTAGGTTCCAAAATAGTAACCAGATTGATAAAATGATGACTCAGTAATGCCAGGAGGCATGAAATTATATCAGACACATAAAGGAAATTCTTAATGCAAAAAATGTTCTCAACTGTACCTATGTAGATACTGAGTTAGAATAAGAGGTTGGTACACAGTTTTGCATATTAATAATTTTTTGTAGTGTGGGCAATTCCCTCATTCTGGATAGTACTCCAGGTGAGAATGTGTCTTAGAGCACTGCTTTAGGTTTGCTTATGTGGCTTATATTTGTGACATTTTACTTTCCTTTTTATATGTAAGCAATATTAAATTACCTTATAGCCTTAGCTACTACGGAAATGAGGCTGACTCATCAATATTTGATCTTATTAGCCTAATTTTGTTTTTCATTGGAGAAAGCCACCAAACTTAGATTTCTGATATAACTGATCAAATTCTATCCAAGAGAAAGCTTAAATGATTCCAGCTCTTCTCCAGTGATTAGACACAAGAGTTTTAAACATGTCAAAAAGAAATCTAGTTGTTTTTAAAACTTAAGTCATTTTGTCTCAGGTTTACTTTTTCCATTAATGACGAGTTAGTTAGTTATCCCAGGACTGGATGAATATTTCCTAATATCTATGCTAACTGACCAGGATCTTAGTTGGTTCAGTATGAGCACATTTATAGAGACTGTAGACACTTATGGCTAAAGTCTTCTTACAGGAATTTTAAATTACAACATGGAACAAAACAGAAAAGTAAAGTTCAAAATTTTAATTTGTGAAAAAATGAAAGCTAGTTAGGGCCTGAAAAAGTGTTATCATGTTTATTACATCTTATTCCCAATCTGCCTGACATTTGATGCAACAGTGGGGAAAGTTAAGTATGAATCTGCACAGTTATCTTGAGTACAAAACTAGTATTACATGATGCATAAGACCCGGTCTTCCAGGATATTTTAAATTTTTTGTATAATAGCTAAGAGCATTAATAATTTTTTAAATGTGAAAAGTGAAGGGGCTATCTCAAAATGGGTTGATTTAGATTTAGGAAAAAATAGGCATTTTTATAAAACTACATGAGTGCTCTGTACCACTTTTCATGCTAATGGTTAAACATAGATTTTAAGGTTATGATGAACAGGGTATCTGACTTTATGGCCTTTACACTAGACAATCTGAGATTCCAATAATGCAAATTATTTACCTACACAATTACCTAATCAGTACAAAAATATTTTCTTATGCAGAAGTAAACAGGCCCATCAAGTACCAGGACATTCTCCTGATCCCAGCACTGTGCCCATATAAATTTTATCATTTCTGTAGTTATTAATATAACAATAGTAACAAATAAAAAATAAATTCCTTCAGAAAGTACTAGGCAATAAGATTGCTAAAAAGATGAAGAAAAGCCAATTAACTAATGTAAACACAGGTGATTACTTAACATAGAGGAAGTTTGTTTTAGATGGAAAAAAGTTTATTTCCATATACATTACTATACATTACTATAATAGTAGCACAAGTAACTTCTATTATTATGGTACTGTTGGATGAAAGAACCATTAAAATTAAATAATGATAGATCTATTTGTAAATAAATAATACATTCCACAGCACCATTATTAAAATTATCGTTTCAAGGTCATGAAAAACAAGATTGCTCTATGATCACAGAAACAAAGTCAACATTTATAACTTTTATAACTGCATGTATGAATTCCAAGGATGTTAATAGGATTTAAACCTTTCAGCTATGTGTTCAGATTATTCTCATCACATACCTCTGTTCTCGATAATTTCTTTTCATGGACAAGAAGAAAAGGAAAAAAAAGAAGAATTAGTTACCTATGGAAGTATATTCAGAGAGAGCAATAAACATGAAAGGTCTAGCATTCATTGAAAGGTCTCCACTAGAGGATTTCTGAATTGCAAAACTAAATGGGTAATACACGGTGCCTGGGTGGCTCAGTGGTTAAGCGACTGCCTTCAGCTCGGGTCATGATCCTGGAGTCTCAGGATCGAGTCCCACATCGGGCTCCCTGCTCAGCAGGGAGTCTGCTTCTCCCTCTGACCCTCTCCCCTCTCATGTTCTCTCTCACTCTCTCTTTCTCTCTCAAATAAATAAATCCTTAAAAAAAGTAACATAACATGGGGAATACAAACACAGACTCTCTTTCACACGGTACACACACACACACATACACACACTCTCTCTCTCTCTCTACTTCATCTTTAGAAGCGACACCAAAGGGTTAGTGACAAAATTTTCAAATAAATATTTTTAACAGCATAAATAAGCTTCAGTTATGAAAGAACACCTGTTTTCCCAATATCAATTGTACCATATTAAACATTTAGTTAGTAATGTTCTAAAGTCAATCTTATTCAAGTTACTTCTATAAATTAACTGCTTTCATAGAAATAAAAATCATAATTCATTCCTTTTGGAATATATATCTCAAACTAAAGCTCTTCCTAAGAATTTCAAATGGGAAAACATGATTGGACATGGGAACATCTTATTTCATCATGTAGGATATATTAGAATGAGTTAATTCACAGCTGTTAGGGACCTTCTAAGTGATCACTACTTACTGAAACTTTACACTGGAAATACTTTGTTCAAACTTTAGTCTCTCTTTTTCATTTGGCCATACACTAAAACCAAATTACATGAGTTTTAAAACAAACCAATATTAAACAAAAATGTGTTCTAGGGGGTATAATAGTAAGACACCAGTGACTTAATTTACAACTCAAAAGACTTAATTTTTAACTTTCTATCGTGACCTAATTAAGTGTTAATATTCTGAAGACATGTTAGAAAGGTCATGCAACTGAGTACTGGGCTCCTTCCTCCCCACATCAAGGATAATGTTTCCATATCAATTTTGTTTGTAGCACCTTTATCTGCCTATCTATTTCATACACTCTGTAAGTATCTTGGTTTAATAATGAGCTCATGAGAGTAAAAGTGCCAATTTGTTATTTATATTTTTCATAGTTGAAACCATCAGATTGGGGGAGGGGGAGAATAAGTAGTCCCAGACTCTTTCTATTCAGTATGTTTAACTTTTTATTCCCTCCATCTGATTAACTAGTGGTCCATCAGTTCCAAATAAGTATTCCTCATTGCCTATTCCACCATTCCCTCACTCCAAGGCTTGGAGAACGGGCAGAAAGTTTAATCGGAAGCATTAATGAGGAAACGAGTTTTCAGGTCCTAAATCCATTTTTGAATTTCAAGTAGAATATGAATTACATGAATTTAACTCCTGTATTAAAACTTCTACATTCTCGTTCTATTCTTAAACATACTCTGAATTAAGTTTAGTAGCACTAAAACTTTCATCACTCAGGTTCAAATTTATGAAGAGGATTCTGTGGTATGAATAAGATTTGTCTTTTTCCTTAGCGAATATGCAAAGTACATATATTCAGAAATGAAAAATAGAAAAAACAGTGAAATCTCAAAAGAATTTCATAAAAATAAGAAATGACAAACAGAAGTACTTTCATTCTAATCACTAAAACAAATGGACATAGGTAATTTCATTAGCAAGAGAAGTTTAGATTTCATATTTTCTGAAAGGTAATTTTTTTCCAAGATTGCAAAAACAAGAAATTCCAATTTGCATCAGTAGGTGGCAGAAAATCACACACAACAGAACTAATAATTTTGCCTTCCCCTTTTCACATGACCAATGAAACCACTGAGCTACTTCAAAAGATCAAAGCTTGTGATGGCAATTACCACATAGGTCTTAAATCAGGGAAGTCGAGGAAATAGCGTTAACTCCAAGATGGGACTAATTCACCTGGGGTGGGAGGCGAGGTCATATGATAAATATTCAGAAAAGCCTTCCTTTCAGACATGTAATTTTATAACTCCAAATGTTATGATGAAATCAGGGCATGCAGGGGGCACCTGGGTGGCTCAGTTGGTTAAGCGACTGCCTTCAGCTCAAGTCATGATCCTGGAGTCCCGAGATCGAGTCCCTCATCGGGCTCCCTGCTCGGCGGGGAGTCTGCTTCTCCCTCTGACCCTCCCCCCTCTCATGCTCTATCTCATTGTCTCTCTCAAATAAATAAATAAAATCTAAAAAAAAAAAAAGAAAGAAAGAAATCAGCCCGTGCAAATGGAAGTATGCCACAGAGCTAACGGCCTGCACATCAAAGAGGCACATAGGTATCTATGTGCCTTCCACAGATGCCCTCATGTATTTTAATGCTTTCAGCATACAAAGTTTATCTTGGCAGTAAGCTAACTGCTCTTTCTTTTCCGCCAAAGAAACTCTTTCAGGGTTCTGACTTCACAACAAACAACAGCCATATATACTTTTAAAGAGATTTCCTTCAAATGAGTTGGTTTAAGACCATGTCAGGTAATAATAATAATAATGATAATAGTACATAATTACATAGTGCCTAGTCTATTGAACAGTTTGGGGTAATTTTGAAGCCTAAAATATCCTAATTCCCAAGTCTGTCAGTGAAGTAAGTCAGGCGTATGTGGGGGGGAGTACTATAAAATGGGGTAATGGCCAGAATGCCTAGAAAACATTGTAGGCCCTTCAAATGGAGAAAAACCCTAGGGCTGGGGTACTGAAACATCATCATGAGAGATCAGCAGAACAATGATTTTAAGTTGAAATATTAAACAGAACTCAAGGTTCACCATATTTAAGTTTCAATTTATTAAACTTAAATAAGTTACTTGAATCCTAAGGAAATTTTTTACATCGTTAATATCGAAGTACTTCAAAAGGAAACTGAACATATTCAGAAAATAAGTAAGTTTGGAATGCCTGAAGTCATCTCCTTAGCTAAATGCTCAAGGGGTTTCAGTATTCAAAAGTTACGTAATTTGTAATTTTTTAAAAATGTATAAATAAGAACCCAAAACTTCTAAGCTGAACTTGAAGCTTAAGAATTACATATTAAAAGCAGTAACTTAAAGTTGACTCTGAATGTGAACAAATGAAGTCTCTGAACAGTATTTTCTTCACACACAAACACCCAATAGTTAAATACTAGTGCCCCCTTCGTACTGGGTATGAAGAGGAAGAGGTTCTGCCTCTGGCACGATGCTGGGCCACGGCAAGTCCTCGGTCACACATCTGCCACGGCTGTTCTTGCTGAGAATTGACGGCGTCACTGCTGTTGGTACTAAAGCATTATGCTCCCTATGGGACCATCTTGCCTAGATCTCTAGGCGTGGGTTTAAGTCAAGAGAGCCCATGTCACTCAAGAGCAAACCAACACAGCCTTCGCATTAAGACACGATTTAGATCGGTTTTACTTCACGTAACAGTTTTAAAACAATATTCTTTACTTTCAGAATAGAAGGGAGTTACCTCAAAATCTAAAAACATAGTAAATTATTATCACCTCTAATCATGCCAAGACTATTCACTGATTGCCTGTGGAACCAGACTGATTTTCATTGCAGGTATACCTATCCAATGATACACAACTTTCTAGGTGCTTAATTAATTTAAATGAAATGTTTTAAAGTCTACTTCGATAGTAACAATACTGAGACATTTCACTTACTTATAACCCCATGCAGTTATTCCTAATATGAGGGCCAGCACTAAGACGGTGCCAGCGATTATGCCTATTATGATATTGGTACCAGCGACACCTATGGGGGGAAACAGAAAACAATGAAGATCAGTGTATATAATTGAAATTTTGAGACAAAATTCTTTCGGGAACATTATTCCCCATATTTGTAATCACCACACTAACAAAATTATTTGTTTTACAAAGTGGGCATTTTTTCCCTTTAAATCTTAATCTTAGAGAACACTTCTTTAATTTAATTTTCTTGAGCTACACTTGACATAAGGTTGTATTTGTTTCAGGCGTACAACATAATGATTTGATATCCATACATACTGGGAAGTAAAAAAGTGGGTGTTTTTTTAAAGGGACGAAAAATCAAGCATTACTTAGCAATCCAAATCAACTGTTTGTTTACGTAATTCTTTGTCTGCATTCCCTTTTCATTCTTGTCCCAGTATATTTTGCACAGTTTTATTTCCCACGTAATTTTCTGAAAAATAAGATGAGGTCGCTGAACTACTAAAAGGAAGAGTAAAAAATAAAAAACAAAGGGAGAGCGACTCTACCATATTGCCATAGCACTCTCTGGATAGGAACGTGTAAAAATCCATGTTCCTTTTGACCCTGACCTCTTGCTCAGGAATTCCAGAAATGTGACTGTCCATATCCTTCCATCCTGACCACTAACGCAAGGTCCTTATCGCCCTCGGTTGTACGTGTGATATTTTGTCTCTCAAATGTAAGCTCCTTGCGGAGAAAATGTGTCTACGGATTTATATAATGAGTGCTCAGGTGCTCAAACAATGGGCTTATAGTTCCCAGCTGGTAATGGTGGCTGTGGGATCCTAGAGAAGGAAAGAAGCCAGAGGAAAAGAGAGTATGTGGCGAGCCAGAGACTGGTGCTTGCCAGGCACGAGAGCCAGGCGGTAGCAGACCGGCAGAGGGCCAAGGCGAGGCCAGTGCTCAGGACTCGGTAATGGCACTGTGTGTCAGCATCTGCTGTCAGGAAGGCAGAGGTGGAATCCTTAGGGGGATCATAGCAGTGTGAGTGACCCCATAAGTCAAAGGCTCGGGCAAGAGACTCAAGGGAGGGCCCAGGAGCAGAAAAGGCAGATCGGAGGCCTGGCTGCTTTGCTGATAATGATTTATACCAGATGCTTAAATCACCCAGATCTGTTTCACTCAGAGCAGCTCAGGTCTCTCTTGGTCTGCTACACTCCCGAAGCATCTTTCTAAATGTCAACAGTTTGTAATCACGGGCAACTAGGGCAGATCGCAAATCCCCATTACAGAAGCGGCCGCCCCCCTGTATGGGAGGCCTCGGTAAGTCGTGTCCTACGGCAGGGCATCCGAGGAAACCAGAACGGCCCACCCTGCGCACATCCTCTGTGGGATGGGGGGATGCAGATGCCAGAGGACCCACTGGGGCACTGGGGTTTTCCTACTCTAGGGCCTAGCACATCTGCCTTTTCTTCTTTTTCTTCCAGCAATTTTTACAGGGATCAATAAACTTGGAGGCTTAGCCTGGTTATTTCTAAGTAATGATATGACTTCTGACAATTCACTTAAATCCAGGGACCTGAATAGCCTCATTTCTGCATTCACTGCTGAAAAAAGCTCCATACTACCCTTGCTAAGACTGAGGACACCAGAATCTTCATCATTCTCTGAATTTCCTTGCTAAAGTCATCGTGGCTAAGATTTTTAACCTGTCTGGATGATTACAATGAACAGGAAGATGAATGGACTTCAGGATTTGAACATTAATTAACACTCAATCATGAAAAATGATAATATAGTTTAAAAGGGGACATCTACCTCCAAGGCATGTGTTCTTACAACTATCTGCATTTAATTTCTACCTCTCCATTTGGGCCACTGTAGCTTTTAGATCTGTACCTGTTGTTTCTTATCTATGTCCTTAATCCCCTTCTAGACACCTCGGCCAAGGTTACTACTTCTAGAATTATCTACAGTTCAGGCTACACAACTTGGGTTGAATGGAGATGGGATTCTATAATAAAAAAATATTAAAGCCAACAAGATATTTAAAAGTCAATTCTTCAGAGGTGCCTGGGTGGCTCAGTCGGTTAAGTGTCTGCCTTGGGCTCAGGTCATGATCCCAGGGTCCAGCCCCAGGTCAGGCTTCCTGCTTAGTGGGGAGCCTGCTTCTCCTTCTCCCTCTGCCCCTCTCACTCCCTGCTCGTGCTCTCTCTTGCATAAATAAATAAAATCTTTAAAAAATAACCCAGTTCTTCAAATTGCTTTTTTTCTATGTATTCAATCCCAAAATATAAAATTCTCTCCTTAAATTCAGAGAGTTAAGAAATAGGACTACTTTCTTCATTTAAAAGAAATGCTAGGGTTTGTTGTCACCACGCCCCAAAACAGAATACTTGAAAAATCTCAGTCTGATGTAGGACAAGATAAGGCTAAATCAGTAGACTAAGTTATATTCAATATTACACATGGAAATGGAAATGGAAAATATCAGTTTCATACTGTGGATCCCAGTTGTATATTATATTTGAGCTATAACAATAATCCAAATGAAACTCTCTGAAGAGCAGTTCTCTCTCGTTATGTATAAAAACTACGTAATGGCAGTAATCAAGTACCTACCATTGCCAGACAGAGTTATGCCAGTCTTTGCATCATCATTGTGAGGGAAGTATGTGCTGCAGTCTGCACCAATCCAGTGTCTGTTACAGACACACTTCAGCTCATTACTGCAAACCTGAAATCCAAAATCAGTCAAGAGTACAGGTCAACTCTCTGATACAGAAGCATGAAAAATAAGCACTAATTTCTAACTGTTATATGCCTAGAATTTGACGGTACTGAAAAATGATCAGTACTTTCTTCTAAAGACTAACTTCCTTATTTCTTTTTCAAGTACCTAAAATAATATTTTCTAGAGATCAGCAGTTAGACTCAAAGGGAATAATGAATTTTAACAGGGGAAATGAATATACAGTCTAAAAAGAAATCAATGAAATTATTGTTTTGAATTTCATTAACTTAAATTTTATAGGACGGAGTTTTAAAACTCAGCAGAAATACAATCATTTGCCAATTATCCAATATAAAAGTTTCTTCCAAAGAAACGGTCTTTATACCAAAGTTTTATTCATCCTTTAGGAAGCCTAAGAGATAAAGAGCAATCCAATGAAGAAGAGGGAAGTCCTGATTGGGCTAAGAAGAAAGTTTCACAAAGCTATAGCCCTGGCACCTCAACCCAAGCGACAGAGATGAACGACCTCCACGCCATGGAAACTGTGAAGCCCTCAAACAAAATGTAAGGAAAAATTTCACATAAAATGGCACCAAATTTTTAAAAACTCTAAGACAATAATCTATCTTCACTTATACGTACCGGAAACGGAATCTACACCTAGATCTGATACTTCAAAACAACTTTCAATGGAGTGGGAAGTGGGGGAGAATTCAGCTAGGTTTAAGATCAGAGAAGTTCTTCAGGGGGCAGGCTGTCAGTGGATAGCTTTCTGTCTTCTGTCTAATCTATGACATACATCCACATCTAAATGTAACTATAGGGGCGCCTGGGTGGCTCAGTCGTTAAGTGTCTGCCTTCGGCTCAGGTCATGATCTCAAGGTCCTGGGATCGAGCCCTGCATCAGGCTGCCCACTCAGCGGGAAGCCTGCTTCTCCCTCTCCCACTCCCCCTGCTTGTGTTCCCTCTCTCGCTGTGTCTCTCTCTCTCTGTCAAATAAATAAATAAATAAAATCTTTTAAAAAATGTAACCATAAAATACGATTAAGAAAATGCAGATTTCAGATTAACAAATCTCTGCAGATTGACAAATATGTGGGAAGAAAAAGGTTGAGGTTTTTTATTGTTATGTTAATCACCATACATTACATCATTAGTTTTTGATGTAGTGTTCCATGATTCATTGTTTGCGTATAACACCCAGTGCTCCATGCAGAATGTGCCCTCTTTAATACCCATCACCAGGCTAATCCTTGCCCCCACCCCCCTCCTCTCTAGAACCCTCAGTTTGTTTCTCAGAGTCCATCGTCTCTCATGGTTCATCTCCCCCTCTGATTTCCCCCCATTCATTCTTCCCCTCCTGCTATCTCCTTCTTTTTTTTTTTTTAACATATAATGTATTATTTGTTTCAGAGGTACATGTCTGTGATTCAACAGTCTCACACAACTTACAGCGCTCACCATAGCACATACCCTCCCCAATGTCCATCACCCAGCCACCCCATTCCTCCCACCCCACCCCGCTCTAGAACCCTCAGCTGGTTTCTCAGTGTCCATCGTCTCTCATGGTTCGTCTACCCCTCTGATTTCCCCCCCTTCATTCTTCCCTTCTTGCTATCTTCTTTTTTTTTTTCTTAACATATATTGCATTATTTGTTTCAGAGGTACAGATCTGAGATTCAACAGTCTTGCACAATTCACAGCGCTTACCAGAGCACGTACCCTCCCCAGTGTCTATCACCCAGCCACCCCATCCCTCCCACCCCACCCCCCTCTAGAAACCTCAGTTGGTTTCTCAGAGTCCATAGTCTCTCATGGTTCGTCTCCCCCTCCGATTTCCCCCCCTTCATTTTTCCCTTCCTGCTATCTTCTTCCTTTTTTTTTTTTTTAACATATAATGTATTATTTGTTTCAGAGGTACAGATCTGAGATTCAACAGTCTTGCACAATTCACAGCGCTTACCAGAGCACATACCCTCCCCAGTGTCTATCACCCAGTCACCCCATCCCTCCCACCCCACCCCCCACTCCAGCAACCCTCAGTTTGTTTCCTGAGATTAAGAATTCCTCGTATCAGTGGAAAAAGGCTGAGGTTTAAAGTCAAAAGGCCTGGCTGTGAGTGCCCATTTCACCGCTGTCTTATCAATGGGTTTTAAGCAGGTCCAACTCTCAGTTTCCACATCGCACAACAGTGACACAGTGACAAGGACAGTGACACCAGTGACAAGGAATCACAAGAGAGTCCTAGCAAACATCTATCCGACACTCACTATGCCTCAGGCATTGTTTTAAGTACTACATATAAGTTGCAAGTATTAACTAATTCTTTTTTTCTTTTTTTTTTTTTAAGATTTTATTTATTTGACAGAGAGAGACACAGCAAGAGAGGGAACACAAGCAGGGGGAGTGGGAGAGGGAGAAGCAGGCTTCCCGCTGAGCAGGGAGCCCGATGCGGGGCTGGATCCCAGGACCCTGGGATCATGACCTGAGCCGAAGGCAGACGCTTAACGACTGAGCCACCCAGGCGCCCCTTTAACTCACTGATTCTTCACAACAATCCTGTAAAGCACACAATATTCTTCTTCTCATTTTAAAGGGGAATAAATTGAATCACACAGAGGCTAAATGAGTTGCCAAATCTCACTCAATTAGAAAGAAAGAGATGGGATTCAAACTCAGACTGTCTGATTCCAAGCCCATACTCTTAACTATACAATGTACAGTACATAGACAGTATCTACTGTATTCTCATTTCAATTTTTATTGTATATTTAGAGTTACTGTGAATTAAAAATATATAGGATATAATGTCTCTGTATTATGCATAATTACTGCAAGTGATTTGGATGATATTTGCCACCTGAATTACTTGTGTCTATCAATTTATTCATTCGTTAAACAAATATTTTATTAACAAAACTGTTTGGCCTCCGTGTTCTACACTTCTAGATGAAGAAGACATTGTTATCATTAGCATGAATGATCAAGAAGCAATTCCACTTTTTGCCCTATCCGCCCAAAAAAGCATTTCCCCTTAACATCTTCTCACTTACTCAAGAAAGAAGACTTAGTAGACCCCTTTGTAGGAGCAGAACTACTTACTATGTGCCTTCTCTATTTTCACTTGCCATAAGAACTCCTATCCTTTGGCAAAGAGTTACAGTTGGCAAGACCTCCCTAAGAAAATTCTTGGCATATCCCTGGAGGATCTACATGGAATGACCAGGATTGAAGGCTTACAATTTCAGGACAGGGATCCTTTACCTCAGCTGGATAATATGACCAGCTCAAGCCAAGAATCTAGGTAGGGTTTAAAAAAAAAAAATCGTAGTGCAGGCCAAAAGAAAAAGAAGTAAAAATTATTTTATTAGTATAGGAATTCCTAACAGAAAATGACCAAACTGTGATCACTATTGGGGCATGTTTATCTAACTTATAAACTTACTTATATAGGACCTACATTATCAGATATGTGACTGAAAAAATAGAATTTAGTCTTTTAAACAATGCTATTCTTTCTATTCATCTGTGATAAACATTTCTCTGACTTATTCAGTTTTTATTTCTAGGAGTTATCCTTGACTGATACACGCTTGGTGTGGCTACAGCAACTATTTATGACCTGTTCTAATTGCTCAGTGACTAGACCATACCAGTTGTTAAATATTGTGGCCAATGCCCTTTTCTACACCCTTTTTAAAGTCCCATTAGAGTTTATTAAAACTTCTCTCCCGGGGCGCCTGGGTGGCTCAGTCGTTAAGCGTCTGCCTTCGGCTCAGGTCATGATCTCAGGGTCCTGGGATTGAGCCCTGCATCAGGCTCCCTGCTCCGCGGGAAGCCTGCTTCTCCCTCTCACACTCCCCCTGCTTGTGTTCCCTCTCTCGCCGTCTCTCTCTGTCAAGGGAAAAAAAAAAAACAAAAAACAAAAAAAACTTCTCTCCCAGATCACTTGTAGAAAACCAGCATTATATTATATGAGATCACATTAACATAATGCAAAAGAAAAACGGAAGAATTTGATTAGGAAGATTATACTTTTTCTTATTCCCAGGCTTGCACAGATTACACAACAGAAATATTCCAACGACTATGACCAAAGAACTGTTTACAAGCCAGCTAGAAACATGGATAAGCACATTTTCGATTTTTACAAAATAAGCAGGTTAGGGTCATACCTGTTTCTGTGATATAAAAGAATAGAGGAGTTTCCCTATGGCAAGGTACTGAATACTTACTCCATTTCCTGAACAAACAGTGCCTTCTTTATTGCTTAAGCAAGTACTAAAGTTGAAGGAAGCCACAGGAAGACACCTGTGTTCTAAGCACATCATTTGGGGACCACAAGGTGTCCCATCTTCCACATAGCCAAGATCGACATCTTCTTCAAGCTTCACATGCCCACCACTAAAAACAGAGAGCAAAAAGAAAATAGGAGTCCATTAATTCACATTCATTTTGAGAATCTGCTTAAAAACTAAAAAGTGGGTTAAGTGTCTGACTCTTGAGTTCAGCTCGGGTCGTGACCTCAGGGTTGTGAGTTCGAGCCCTGCATCGGGCTCTGGGCTAAGTGTGGAGCCTGCTTGGGATTCTCTCTCTTCCTCTCCCTCTGCTCCTCCCCCTCTGCTAGAATGCACACACTCTCTCTCTCTCTCACTAAAAAACACTAAGCTAAACTAAAAAGTGGGCAATAATATTTTCTCTATTTTTCTATTTATTATCTAATAAAAACAAATAGCTTGTTTTTCAGAGTCCCTCTGATGAGGGTTCTAGAGGGGAGGGAGGTGGGAGGATGGGTTAGCCTGGTGATGGGTATTAAAGAGAGCACATTCTGCATGGAGCACTGGGTGTTATACACAAACAACGAATCATGGAACACTACATCAAAAACTAATGATGTAATGTATGGTGATTAACATAACAATAAAAATTTTTAAAAAAACAATAGCATAACCATTTCAACCTCTAAATGGAGAAAGCAACTAAATCTTTTGATCTGATTCTTTCAGAGATATGGACATATTTTAGGATTTAAACATAATTATTATAACAAGGGCCTGAATTGAAATAGCTTTATCATTTTGCCTTGGCTATCATGTACAAGTCAAGTGAGCCATTATTACTAGTATTTGGTTTGATAAGTGGGTAGGTCTCAAGATTTCAAACATGTTTCAAACAAGGACGAGAACTGGTCTGGGTTTACATTTCCCAAGAAGATTGCTAATTTAAAAATGGTAATTGAGAATTGGTATATTATTAACTTCACTACCTAAATGTTATATAGGAATAAATAAAACAGAACACGGTTAAAATGTAAATCCTTAATGTAGTCATATGATGCCACGTCAATGTCAGCACATAAATCTCCATTCTTTTTATTTATTTATTTTTATCAAAATGACACATGCATATAGTTTAAAGAGTCAAACAGACAAATCGTTTTTTTTTTTAATGCAATAAAGTGGTTCAGTGCCCTCTCCTCCACCATATATCCCTCCTTGGAGGAAACCACTTTCTACTTTTAATTGATTCTTTTGTTATTTATGTACATATCTTTAATTAAGAGTTTGTGTTACTGTTTTTTCATTTTTCCATTTCAGATACTACTAACTGACTCCTCTCTATGGAATTTGAAAATGTGGATCTTTCTCCTATCCTCCCATCATAAATTTTGTTTAATCAATACTCAAATCAATAATAAAAATGTACACTATTAGGACTATGTAAATGTTACTCAGTTGAGTGATACAGTATGCCATAATTAAACCTTTTCTTTTCCTGTACAACTTTTCATTTTCCCTCAGATTAGCAAGTCTCTTATTTGTTTGTTGTCTTTTTGCCTACTTTTCTAAGAATTTGTCACCAATACGAAACTAATCAAACTCTGTTGACCCCCAAATCCCCAAGATGTGCTGTCTGAGCATCAGTTCTTCTTCCTGCAGAAATCTCTCCTGGAGTTTCTATCTGGAATATACCCTCCTCCTGTCTGATCTGGCTGTCCGCTGTACCCTGTACGGCACTGAAGTATCTGGGATTTCCCCTCATCATTCACCGGAGGGTTGCCCTGACTCTTCACTCTACGTGGTGGGTATCTTGTTTCCTGTATGACCAGCCTTTCCCTTTCTTACCTTACGCTTTCATTTGAGTGGAACACAATTTCTAATAGCTTCCTGAAAAAGGGTAGGGGAGTACATTCGCGGGGAAACCTGCATATCTAAAAGTGTGTCCACTTTCTCCCTTCACACTTGATTGATATTTTGCCTTAGTTCAGGAATCATGTTTTCCATTGTATTCTGGCTCCCAGGGCTCCTGCTGATAGATCCTAAGCCTGATCTTTTTTTTCACCTCTCTGAAAACATTTGGGATTTTTTTCTTTGTCCTAAGGTCTGAAGTTGCATAATGATATGTTTAGATGTGCCTCGGAGTTCACTCACTGCACCTGCACTTGGTGAGCCTGTCAATGTAGACGCTCAAGTCCATCCTTTGTAGACAATCTAAGTCACTAATTGATGATTTCTTCCCTGCTATTTTCCCTGTTCATCATTCCTATTCCAACTTGGTGAGGTTTTCTCTTTGTTCCACTCCTTTCTGCTTTTGCCCTACTTTCTGGGAGATAATTTCAACTACTGGGTTTAATCTCTACCTCCATATTTTTAATTTCCAACAGCATTTGTTTCTGTGAATGTTCTTCATTTGTTTAAAAAAATAGCACTCTATTCTTTTTCATGATAGAAGTATCTTATCTCGCATAAATATTGACAGGTGCCCTTTTTTCTGGTTGTTTTTATCTCTTTGTGTATGTGTGTTTGAGCCTTTCTTCACATGTCTGATAAACTGCTCATATTTGAGTTATCAGATAAATGATAGGAAATTTTAGGGCTTTCTGGCTGAACATCAATGAGGCTGGTCCACTTGCACACACCCTGGTATCAATATTGCCGGTCGTCCTTCAGCTCGGAAACCTGTTTATGTGTAGAATGTAAAGCTCAAAATCTTCCATGAGAGGGTGAGCAATCCCCAGTTTAGGTGAGTCAGGAAGTAATCTGTTGGCAGACTTTTCAACTATCTTTTCTATTTTAGCCCCTCCCTGTCCCTGAATCCTTTTACTCTGTCTTCCAGAAGCAGATGATGCTGCCAATTTTTGAGTCTTTGGGGAAATGACTTTATATACAAGGTTAGCTCTCCATTTTCCCCAATACTGACTTAGGAATTCAGCTTTCTTAGTTTTGACAATCATTTGCCACACATCCATATGCTCTCCACACTCCCAAATTTTGTTGCTGTTGTCTCCTCTCCCTTTCTCTACTGCCCTGTGGATACATGAATTCCAAAAAAGATCGTTACTGTCATTTTAGTAGGGGCTCAGAAGGGAGTAAAGGAAGATGCATATATTTAATCTACTGACTTTACCCAGGAGTTCTGACTCATTTTCCTTATTAGGAATGAAATGCAAACTAAACCCTACAAGATATTCTCGACCCATTAAACATAACTCCATCAACCATAGTCAACTAATTCTTAGCTTCTTTTCAACCCTTTTGGTCACCCCTACGGGCTAGATTCTGTTTCGGCTTGCTAACACGCATGGGAACTGAAAAAACCAAAGTAACTCTACAAGGCACTCCTCGGAAGTAAGATGACTCATGTTCTCATAGAATGGGGAAGATGATTACCTGCAGTTTAATGTTCTTCCCTGCTGCACAACCAAAGTAGATGTGATTTCACCATCAAGTTCTCCAAGCCTGGGGATATTACCAATATTGGTGCACAAAAGGTAACCACAAAGCACATCCCTGTGTTAAAAGATACCAATTATTTACTTCTTTCCCCAAATAACAAACCATGTACAGTTAGAACAGTAATCTTATCTCATTTTAGCATTTCTTTTTCATCCACTCTATTTTATTTACTCAAATTATAATAAGCTAAATAAGCCCAAATTAGTTTGCCTCCCGCTTTAAAAAGTGTCTTCTCTGAAATTGTTATCCATGTACCAAAATCCCAAACTGTTTTCTAGATTTTCCTTTACTGTCCATTAGTTCAAGTATTTCTCTAAAGGAAATTATCCAACAAAAAGACTTCTTTTAGATCAGAATCTCCTTCCCTAGAACACACCACTGGATATGCTAAAACGTTTTTTTTTAATATTTGACAAGTGAATAAATGACCTTTGGATGAGTACTCTTTTGGAAGACAGCTCTTTCTTCAACCTTTTGCCCCAGAATTAAAGAATTTTACATATATTTTATATATAGTAGATTTTTACTTTATATATATATATAGTAGATCCATATTTTATATATAGAATTTTATATATGTTTTATATGTATATAGTAGATTCTCAGCCACATAGATTCACGATCCCTTTTTCAATATATTCCACTAATCCCCCACCTACCACAAATAATTCTAATTTAACATATAAAACATTTCCAGTGGTATTATTACCTGACATATTTTCTATATCTAGCACATTTTAATTGCTAATATACATAATATTAAACACATACACTAATAAATATCTTGTCAAGAATGATTAGTAGACTAGCAAGATTATACATGAAAATATTAAGCTTCGGGCGCCTGGGTGGCTCAGATGGTTAAGCATCTGCCTTCGGCTCAGGTCATGATCCCAGGGTCCTGGGATCGAGTCCCGCATCAGGCTCTCTGCTCCTTGGGAGCCTGCTTCTCCCTCTGCCTCTCTCTGTCTCTCATGAATAAATAAATAAAATCTTTTAAAAAATTAATTAATTAATTAATTAAATTAAAAAAAAAGAAAATATTAAGCTTCATCAGATAGAGAAAAATTAGAACTTACATCTATCATCAACATAGAAAAATGTATTAATTCATCCTTAAAAAATAATTTTTAAAGGTTATATCATTTTATTATAGCTATCACAAACAAAAATGCTTTCTTAACACAGAAGAGATATTCAACATTTTTATAAGTGTCATTTATGTGCATGGAGCTTACTAAGTACTTTAGGATATATAAAGAAAAAAAGACACGGTCAAGGAAATAGACTCGGATGAGAAGAGAAATCACACACATAAACAGCTATAAAACATGGAGGGGCGGGAACAAGGGCCACAGTAATAGTACAAAAGGCTGTGGGAATTCAGAGAAGAGGGAAATGAATTATTTCTAGAGTAAATCCAGAAACAATTTATACAGCATTGTCCAAGTGGGACTGTGACTGGTAACGGAGTGAGGATAAAGGGTGCTTTTGGAGGAATGAGCAGCACAAGCAGAGGTACGGAGGTGAGAGAATAAAATGCATGGACTAGGAATGACAAGGTTTGCTAGAATTTGGAAGAGTAGAGAAGAAAAAAACAAAACAAAACAAAAAAATGAAGGTTGAGGGCAAACTGAGGAGGATGTAAAGGGTCAAGCTAAAGTTCCATTTTGTTCATTAAACAAGACAGTAGGACATGCCACAAAGTGGTTAAGGGAGAGTTCTGAAATCAGACTGCCACATTCTAATTCTGCTTCTACTGCATCCTAGCTACATGACCTTGGTCAAATGAATTAATTGCGCCTCAGTTTTTCCTCCATAAAATGAGGAGAACTGCCATAAAGACTAAATAACAGAGCTTATGTAAACTGCAAGATAGTGGGCACAGTAAATGTTGGGCATTATTCTTACTATTAATTAGGTATGTGGGACCAGAGACATTTGAACAAAGAATTGACAGTCAAAAAGATTCAGCAGATGAATATTCTGATGGCAGCATGCTAGAGACCCCTGGCTTAAGACACTCTTAAGAGGCCTTTGTAACAGTTGAAGAATTAATGTAGGTCTTAGTTGCGGCAATGCAATAGGAAAGGAAATGAAGAGATCAATTAAGACAAATGTCCATGTTTTGGTGTCTGGACAATGTGTCAGAGGGACAGTGGAGTCAAGGGCCACTGCAAGGCTTCTAAACTGAAGGACAGTGAGGTATTCAGATCTTTGACAAAAATGGTGGTTCAGAAAAGTCAGAGCCAGTTAATAGAGTATATATTCTGGTGGCTTTAATTTTTGTTGCTTTGAAATGCTAGCCGGTGCCTTCTAGGTGAGAAAGTCCTGAGGCAGCTGCAAGGGTGGCCTGGGCCTGAGGGGAGAGGTCAGCATAAGTGTTAAGACTCAGGAGCCTTCCGCAGGGTGGAGCTGGAATGCTGGGAAAAGATGAGGAGAGCAGGCAACAGAAAGAAGGCTCTGCGGGATGCAGAGAACAGGAACATCCTGGTGGCTCCGAGAGTAACACCTGCAATTAACTAAGGGATAAACTCTGCGCAAACTTCTCCATCTCACCGTTTGTTGCACTGTATCCATGTGTCTTTGTCTTTCCCACAGTTCCCCTTTTCCGTCCCTTCGATATTCAGTTTCTCATAGCAGTATTTGTCTGATGCCATCACCTCTGAAGCAGAAAAGAGTTTTCTATCGGTGAGAGATTTAACACATGAGCTGCTCAAAATGCTCGCAGTAAGGGAAAGTAGCCATTTAAAGGACTCTTCTTCATGACAATGCTGCCAATTCCAAAGACTGTACCCATGGTTCTCAAGAGTTGTCCTTTACCACAGACATCCATGACTCAGCTACATTCTCCATGACTGCTCATTGGAAATTTGGAAAACAAATCTATGGAGATCTTTGATGGGATTGAGGCTATAGGTTTCAAGAACAACACTCCTCAGAATGTGGCCAATAATTAGGGGAAGACGCTACCAAGTTGTTCCTGGAATAAATACTCCACACTTTAATCTCAGTGCCAAATGTAAAGTACAAATTTCTCACTTGGCAACTTTTATTAATCATAATGACAAGTTTATTAAAATAACTATGCACTATAATTAAAGATTCAAGAAACAGTAGTATAATTTCTACCTCGTTTACTAATTCTTAACAACTATTAAAAAACAATTTAATTTTATTCTGTTTTTAGACAAGCTTGAATTCATGCTAAATCTAAGGGTGTCAAATAACATTTTAAGCTATGTCAGCATCTTTGTCAGGACTTTGCTTTGGCTAAAGCCAAGGCTGGTTGATGGAACGGTCCAGGAGTTAAATCAAAATGACCTCTGCAAACTAATCAAAAGATAACTGTTTGTGTATATTTTTAAAAAATTATCACGTTAAAAAAAATCAGGTTTTTTCCCTACTTCTTGCTGTAAGCAACAGTTTTTCTCAAGTGGGGGAAACAAAAACTGTATCTCTTTGCTCAGAGTCCAAATCTGCATTTCCATATTCTCCTCCATTCTCCAGTCACTCAGAAGAAGGCGTACACTTGCCCTCTCAGAAAGAATGTAGCCACTATGTGTGACAATTAAAGATTATCTTTATCTTTATAGCTTATTTCCTAATACAAACTGTCTTCTGAAAGAGTTTAAAGCAAAAACTGCCTTCAAAAAATATATGGCACAATATTTAAATACACATTTAAACAGAGATATAATTTAAGTAATATGTTTTAGATATAAATATTATACATTGCCCTCCGAAAATCTGACAAACTTTGAAAGCAATAACATTAAAATTCTTTTCTGATGTGGCACAGCTACCTCAGCAGAGGGTCACCTGTAATTAGGAAAGCGAGCTAGACTTTAAGAGAGAAAGCTGAGGAAGAAAAAGCAACTCTAGCTGAACTGCCCCAGTGCTAAGCCAAGGGCACCCTATCCAGGGTCCACGCCCATCCCACATGGTTGTACAGGTTTGGTTAAGGACACTCAGCTGAGGGAAGTGTAAGTGGAGCTGAAATCCGGGTTTGCTCTATTCTCCGGGCTGCACAGGCTGGAGTGGACTTCATCTGCCTGGCACCAAAGGCACCTTCTTTCTTGTCCAATGGCACAACCAACCAGCCAGTGTCTTCTCAAAGGAGGTGCCTTTTTCTAATGTCTACAAAAGTGCCACTACTAAGACCTGCAGTGTCTTTGAGAATCCCTCAGTCATAAAGTGGTTGAAAATTTACTTCCAGCTCACATCATGTGCTTTGACCTCATATCATAACTTTGAAAAGGATCAAGCCACACTATTTACTTACTTTGCCCCCAGATGTATTTGCATTGCCTATCCCTGGTTTTACATCTTCCTCCAAAGCAAATCCCCTAAAATGGAAAAGCATACACCTATTAACAATGCAATGTCTGCTTATGTTGGATCACTGAAAAAAGAAAATAGGACTGGGAAAACTAGTAGATGAGTATTATAAAACCTTTTATCTTCAGAAATGATTACAAAACATTTAAACTGATTTTCCTATTTTGGTAAGATTTCAGTATTTCTTTCATGCTGGTACACATGAAAGATTTAGGTAAAGATGAAATAACCTACCTGAATACCATCACATGAATATCCATCCATTTTATGAATATTTGGGGCGCACTAGGAAATGAAAACAGAACTATGAACCAAGTGCACAGCAAAATATCCGGCTGAGCTAATCCCTGTAATGTTTTCTTTTCTTTCTTTTCTTTTCTTTTTTTTTTTTTGAAAATAAAAGTCTGATAATATGGCTAAGTCTCTTACAACATCTGAAAATAAAAACAAAAAAGATCAAGAGGAAGCAGAAGGAAATACAACAATTGGTGCACTTTCCCCTAAAAATAAGGATCTACTAGAGGCAAAAACAGTTGATTACACTGTAGCAAATAAAAAGAACCTACAGCTATGACTCAGCCAACCCTAACATTTCAGAGCATCTTGCTTTATACAGATACACTGTTCCTCAGAGCAAGGAAAACAAGAGCACAAAACAAAAGCAAGGGGGATGCCAACAAAAATGGAGCAATAACTAGGTTCCTCTTTTTTTTTTTTTTTTTAAAGATTTTATTTATTTATTTGACAGAGAGAGACACAGCGAGAGAGGGAACACAAGCAGGGGGGGGTGGGAGAGGGAGAAGCAGGCTTCGCGCCGAGCAGGGAGCCCGATGTGGGACTCGATCCCAGGACCCTGGGATCATGAACTGAGCTGAAGGCAGTCGCTCAACCAACTGAGCCACCCAGGCGCCCTAGGTTCCTCTTTTTTACCATGAGAAGCACCTCAGCCCTTACTCTTATAATGTCTCTTGAGCGGAAGTCCACCTTGGGCACATTAGGAAAAAACATGCTTTATAGCCCCGTTTTTCCCTTGTAGCAATTGCAGAAAATTGCAAAGCATTCTTAATAAACAGTATTTTAAAATTTATTATACATTTTTTGTATCTTTATAATAATTATATACTCACTTCAGAAAACTTAGGAAATGTAAAAAAAGTAAAACAAACAAACAAAAAACAAAAGACAAAGTCTCTCATGTTCCCACTACCCAAAGACAATTTTTTTATATTTTGGTATATTTTTTCTCTACCTTTTTCTACAAAATTTGATTTTTTAAAATATGGGTATATAATCATGTTACAGATGATATTTTATATCCTGCTTCTCTTTACTTTTTCATCACGTGAATCTCCTCAGGTCATAATAAGCTTTTTTGTAGGTATCATCCTTAATAGCTATAATATACTGCACTGAGCTAACAAACCATATAACCAATGTACTATAATACTCACTTCTAACTATCTCCAGTTTATGCTGTTACAACTAATTCAACAAAAGCATCTTTGTACATCCTCTTTGGATTTTGGATTCTTTTTTAAAACTTCTGCTTATGGTATAATCACATTCCAAAGAAGTCACTCTAATATACTTTCCCTCCAGGAACACAAGGCAGTCATTCACTGTATCCTCATCATCACTAAGTGTTAGCTTATAGAAACAATGCTAATTAGATAGTAAGGAAAGAAAATACTTTTACATGAAAGAGCTCTCGTCTCTTAGGATGACTACCTTTAAAACAAAACATTTTTATGATTAATGCAGGTATACCACTACGGAATCCCTCTTCTCTAGAGGAAACACATGTAGGCTGTCCTTGCTTTGCATAGCTCCCATATACATGGATTTCAGATACCAGAGTTTTGTGACATGACATCAGAACCCCAACAACACAGTTCCAATGTCAGCTACCACAGTGTATTAACTGTGAGTAACTGCATAAGGCCCACATGCTACTAGCCTTTCAGTTCCATTATCACTAGGTATCTAACAGCTGCCCATCATGGGCACTTGTCACCTCTTGCAAGTCCGCCAGTGACTGGCCACTGCCCGTGTTCATTTAGTTCATGCACAGACAACAGAAGGTGTAGATGTATTGCCTCTGTCTCTGGGTAATAGCATGTGACATTTTACAAAACTGGGTAATTGTTAAGAGGGGCTTGGTCAGCAAAGATGAAAATGCAAAAAGAAATGAAAATGACCCTAGAAGTGAAATTCAAATCAAATATAAATTGAGTCACAGCAAAAAGTCACTGACTGGGCGTGTTGATACTGCTATTTGGCAAAAAACCTCACATTCACACCTTCACATCTCCTGAAGATATTTCATGACACTGAAAATGCAAAGGATAAAATGTTGAAAGTTGATGCAAATTTAGAAGGGAGTCAATTCAACAAGGCACAGAGAAGATGCTTACTATAGATCCTAAGGTTTGTGGCCAGAAGGCATGCACAGCCCAAACTGCTCCTGATGAGGATTTTACAAACAAACAAAACTTGTAATTCTCAATGTTTCTGTTTTTAGTGTGCTAAAAAAATATGTTTATTTTTTCATTTCCCTATTCACTTAAAACCAGGGCCGACAACATTTTTTAAAGATCACGGAACAATTGTAATTTTTGCACTGATTATTAAGATGACCTTACACAATTTTACCTTGCACGGTCATTGTTAGGGCCCTGCACTACCCTGCAAACTGAGGACGGCCTGTATATACAATGACCGTGGGAAATCTGTGAACCCTCACCAAAGTTTATCAGCTTCCTCATCTTCTCCATTCACAACCATATGACATTAAATTCAAGAGCAGTTATTAATGGGTGAGGTGACGCAGGTGGTCTCAGAAAAACAAGAGTCAAGGCAGAAGAATAGACCCCTCCTCAGAACTCAGTGCTCTGTGGGTCTCTCTGTCTTGGCTGGTTCCTGTTTCCACCAACTGGAGAGAAAACAGGACAAAAAGCAATGCCTTCCATTCTCTACTTAGAACAGAAACAAAATAGTTAAGGCACACGTGCAGTCTGAGGTTAGTTCAACATTGAGGTAAAATGATGCTGCACATCTGCTCAAGCTTCGATTACTGAAACTGAAATCCCCAAGAAGTAAATAAAGAGAGAATGAGAACTGATGTGAAAAAGACATGACATCGTGTCCCTTTACGTTTTGCCTGGGGGACAGTGCACTATAGCCCCCTACTCTTTCCCGTCAGGTTCAGAGTAACGATTCTGTAAATTACCTGGCTTGAATTTCCTGAGCACGTTTCACGAATATCGCAATCGTTTACTGCTTCTCGGCACACGGTCCCCATGGGCTGAAACTAAAGTGAACAAAAATCAATGTGCAAAACTGCCAAAGGAAAAAAAAATCTCTTGTGGCATCATCTCAAAAAAAGGCAAAATGATTATTTTTGGATAGGAATATTGCAAGCAATTTTAAGATGCCAGTCTCTGAAAACCCCATTACTGAATGAAATGTTCATTTAATAGTTTTCAGCGAGAGTTTCTCATGTATGAAAGAACCTGCAGAGTCATCACACATAAGTCTTATGATAGCTACTAAAATAGGATAGGTCTGGATGATCCACCTCCCCAGAAGGACAAGTCAGTCCAAGTTCTAGTAATTCTTCCTCCCAAAAAAGGTTTTGGATTTACACTTTACTCTTCATTCTTACTGGCACCTTCATCGTTTTGCTCTCTTTTGCCTCATCTGCCAAAATTCTGAATGTTGTTACATCGTAGGCTGAATTGCAAAAGTTAGATTTTCTGGCAAAGCGATTTCCTCCCATACTGTCCTTTAGCTCCTGTCTCATTTTTATATATAGATCTATGGCATGGTCTTTTATTCTTGTCTAATGTTTCTATTATTTGTACCTGTGTATGGGAGGGGTTTTTCTCTTTTCTTTTTTCTCTTGCTTTTTTTCAACCACCTCAAATATTTCTTGTAAGTGTAGGGAGTTACAAATAAAATTTTAAGCTCACTGAATTTATAAATTGCCAGGGTATTCATTATAAAAAAACAAACAGAGATACACAAAGTCATTATCCTTCCCCTCTCTTCTTCAATCCCATTCTCTTTCCCTCCCCAAAATGCTAATATCAGCGGCTGGATACTTCCACGCTTTTGTGTCTGCTCACACAAACAGACCCATTATTCAGGACCCCTCTCCCAGACCACCTTTCATCTTCTCTCCCTTGCTCATAACCCTCCAGGCACCTGAGTTTCCTACTGTTCTGAGAACATGAACAGCACACTGCCAACTCTAATCAGGATTTCAACAGATATTTTTAGGAGATCCGAAAAAAATTTGTGTTCATTCATTCATCAAGTATTTATTAGGCACTTAAAATGTGCCAGGCACTTTCTGGCCACTGGGGACTCAGTGGAGAACAAAACACAAAAATCCTGCTTGCAAGGAACTCACATTTTGGTGGGGTAAATAGACCATGAAAATAAGGAAATAAGCAAGATAATTTAAATTCATATACTCTGGTTCTCTTCCTTCCAATTTCTTGGAACTGGGGTAAACTACAATTTTAGAAAGTCTGAGGTAGAAATATAAGCAGATTTAAGATGAAGTTTATATAAGAGCGTAAATGTTCAAGAAGTGCCAAGCAACTTCTGAAAGAAAGCATAGTGAAGGACAACTTGTTCTCAGTGCTGGGATACAGCAATAGATAAACTGACCCAAATCCCTGCCCTCTTGGAACTTACATACTAATGAGTGAACAAAAATAATAAACAAGTCAATGAGCAATGTTTTACAGCAAGGGTTGGCAAATTATGGCTTGAGGGCAAAAAGTGGCTGGCCATCTGTTTTTATAAATAAAGTTTTATTGGAACACAAGCACACTCATTTGTCTCTGTATTTTTGATGGCTGTTTTCAAAGGTAGAGTTCAGTAACTGAGACAGAGACCTCATGACCCACAAAGCCTAAACTATTTACTACCTGACCCTTTACCCAAAATGTTTGCCAACTCTGACTCACAGATGCTTTAAGCATAAATACACATAGGAAAAAACAGAGATACGCAGGATTTCTCAGCCTGTTGTTCTATTCCCCCTCCATTCACTCTCCTGCCTCTGGTTCCTCCAGGTGTTTAGGATGGGGGTAAAAACTGGGGGTGAGGGATAGAGAAAGTGGCAAAAAGCTCTTACTTAACTGGTATAGCTGCAGCTTATTTTGTGAGATAATTAAAATCATGACATTTTCCTGTATATATTGTAATTCTATTATTTTGTATTTGTTCTTTGAAATGTTCATGTTCATATCACAAAGGAACCCTTTTTATGCAGGTGGAGAAGCTGACAGACTAAATAGATGATGCAACCCAAATCTTAAAGTGTCTGTTTTGTATTTGATTTAATCCTCCTTTTTTTAGAGAGTGCTTTCAGAGGTCTCTGCCAGTGCGTTGCTTGTCTTAAAAAGCTGCCAGAGACATAGTGGTAAAGTAGAAACAACAGAAATTGCTGCCAGCAGATCTGGGATGTAACTTCACATCTATTCCTTAATAGCTGAACGAGCATATGCAAGTTATATCACTTCCTTGAGACCAGGATTGCTCAAATGGAAAAATAAGGGTAATAACGCCTATCCCAAAAGTGTGGTTGTGAGCTTTATCTATGACAGTGGTCTCAACCAGCAGTGATTTTGCCCCTGAGGGGACACTGGGCAATGTCTGGAAATATTTTTGGTTGTCACAAGTGGGACGGGTTGTGTGCTTGTATCAAGTGGGTAGAAGTCAAAGATTTGCTAAATAACTTACAATACACAAGACATACCCTCAAAACAAAACAATCATCCAGCCAAAAATGTCAACAGTGCCAGGACTGAGAAACACAGATACATGATGATATAAATTAAAAGTGCTTAGCACAATCTCTGGCACTCAGTAGATACTTACTATGATAGATTCATGTCCCACTCTCCCTTAACTCATTAGACTCACGTTAGTCAATCAGCAAATAATCAATAAAAGAGTGTTGTGCATATTTATTTATCCATTCAACAAATATTTACTAAGGACCTGTACCAATTACTGGGTAAGTCCCAGGCACTGACTCCATAAAATGTACATACTAAGGTGGATACTAAACCTCACAGCAGCTAATGTAGAATATTGTACCAGATTTTATATGAGAAGAGAAAAAAAGAAATAGATTTCTTTGAAAAACATAAGCCTCAAATAACTTTTAGTCATGATGTTAAGGCTTAAATATTTGGAGACAGGTATAGGATGCTATTGGGAGGATGAAAACAATGTGCCTAAAGATGCATTCTAAAATCTCATGCATGGTAATACACGTAAGATGTTATCATGTCTAAAAGTATAGCTTCTGGGGCGCCTGGGTGGCTCAGTCATTAAGCATCTGCCTTCTACTCAGGTCATGATCCCAGGGCCTGGGATAGAACCCTGCATCGGGCTCCCTGCTCAGTGGGAGGCCTGCTTCTCCCTCTCCCACTCCCCCTGCTTGTGTTCCCTCTCTCGCTGTGTCTCTGTCAAATAAATAAATAAAATCTTTAAAATAAAATAAAATAAAATAAAATAAAATAAAAGTATAGCTTCTGCTCCTTCAATAGCTAATGCAAGAAATACACCAAGCAGAGCAGCAAGAAAAGAAGAATCTGTTGAATATCCACTTGGCTTTACAAAGAAAGGAAAAACCTCATTTGAAGGTTAGGAACACCTGGCTTCAGTTAATGTGCAGGTCCCTCAGGTAAGCAGTAATGAGAAGACAAACTGGGGAAATTAACAAGGTCCAGGACCCAGCTCTCTGACTTACTTGGTACAAGACCCTGGGCAACTATTTACCCACTGTATGCCTTAGTGTTCTCAACTGTTCGATAGGAATAAAAATAGTAACAAAACTTCACAAGATTTTGTGAGGATCCTATAGAGCACCTGGCAACTTAGTCACTTAATATATGATAGGCACTACTTTTGTTATTACATCATATTTGCCTTACCTTAATGATTTAATCAAATATGCCCTCTTCTCTGTCAACTAGTCATTACTCAACATTTATTTACCTTGCACTTTTTACAACAAAGACCATCACTGCATTGAGAGTCTTGAGTCAAGGTGCATTTCTTACAACATTCTGCTCCTTCAAGGACACACTCCTAAGGAATACAAAGATTTTCAAAACATCAGAAAATGGTGTCATTTTCTAAAAGTACCAGGATATTTTTTAAAAATAAATGTATAACCCCACAATAATAATCTTTCTTCCATATACCCCATGAAATTTCCAGACATAACACCAACTCTGTATGTCTCAGTGAGTGGACCTGGAATGACCCTGAACAACCTAAAAAAAAAAAACCATCAAAACACCCAGAGACTTACTGCCGGGGTCCCACAGTCACACTCCTCTCCAGTTTCAATGAAGCCATTTCCACACTCAGGAGGATCAAGAAGCTGTGGGATAAAATCAAAAGGATAAAATATGGATAAATCAAGATCAAAGACCTTATGAGAGACCATAAGTACCACAACCATACATCTGGTATACCTGTCAGTCATTTCCAAGTATATTTTTATTTTCCTAAACTTGAAAGCATAACTCTAGAACTTTAGAACTGGGAACTTGAGAACAGAAGTGTGTACTTCTGTTTCCACTTCAGATTGAAAATTCAGATTTACATATGTAATATACATATGGATTCCAGTAAATGCCACCAAAATAAAAGATGATCTAGCCATTGACTGAACCCAAACCAGACTGATTCCTGAAATTTCATTTCAAGCAGGAAGCAAGGGATTTGGAGACAGAAAGTGTGGGTTCTAATCTTGGCTCAGCTACTTTATCTTGGGCAAACGGCTTGTCATCTCAGAGCACAAGTGCTTTAATATTTAAAGCAGGAATAATAATATTATCTGCCCATCTACATCAAAAATTGTTGGAGGATCAAGTTCAATCATCTGTGAAAGCCATTTACTAACTATATATCCTTGTGAAATAGCAAGTTATTTCATAGATAATTAGGAAAACATCACAAAACTTAATAAATCCACTGATTTATTTAATATAAAATATAGCTTCTCCAATTAACATAGCTTTGCAGAACGCAGTAATAATAACTGGCCCAGAGATAGAAGTAACTTTTAGCATGTACAAGAGTACATTTTAAGACTATTTTATTTTTCAACTCTCCATCAATTTCATTATCTTTTGAGCATAACTTATCTTACGGTGATAGGTAAAATTACCAAGTAGCTGTTATGTCCCAGTTATATAATATTCACTTAGAAGTTCATCAAAGTTTACATATTATAGAATGGAATGGAACACACACCTATCAACAGACACAAGCCCCCACACACACTTTCTTATTAACTAACTAGAGGGGGGGAAATACCAATTAAGAAAGCAGCAGCAATGACAACAACAAAATCCCCACCTGATTTCAAATATTCTCTCCTCTCCTACAAAATAATCAACACATCTCTAGATTCTATTTTCAGCTGAAAGGGATCATAACAAATGAGACAGCTTTGAAAGCCAATACTAAAACTTATCCAGATGAAAAATCCACTTATTATTTTACTCTGAGCTCAGAATAATCAGTTATTTTTGTAAAAAGACTTGAGTTGTTTTTCATTTATAGCAGCAGGGAGTTAGTTCAAATGTCCCTTCTGAAACTTTTGCAAAGAGTCTTTAAAATGGTCACTTTGCTTTTCAAAGCAATATGATACACTTTCTAAATTTCACTGGAATAGACAGGGAATGAAACCAGGTAAATGATGATAAAGGCAACACCACACATCACTGTGGTGAGCAGAAGAACATAACAGTTCACATAATTAAGAAGAACCAAGAATTCTGCTTTAACATGCTGACTTTCAAATCCATGAGGAAGATCTGCTTTCAAGTCAGTAACCAGAGTTTGTTCTGCAAGTTGGAAAGGCCTCTGACAAAGTCTAAGTACACAAAGACTTTCTCCTTTTCTGCTTTAAGCAGCCTTGGCTTTCATACTGAGAAGTAATAGCAATTTTAATCATACTGCTCATTCTGAAAGGCACTGACAGGGAGTTATGAGGGGGAGAAACGCCCCCTTTCTATCAGTATGAGCTGTGATTACATATACAAACAAACAAAAAAGGAACCAAGAAAATGAAAAAGAAAGGCAAATGAAACCATCTTTGCAAGCTAATCATTTTTTTTTTTTAAAGATTTTATTTATTTATTTGACAGAGAGAGACACAGTGAGAGAGGGAACACAAGCAGGGGGAGTGGGAGAGGGAGAAGCAGGCTCCCCGCAGAGCAGGGAGCCCGATGTGGGACTCGATCCCAGGACCCTGGGATCATGACCTGAGCTGAAGGCAGTCGCTTAACCAACTGAGCCACCCAGGCACCCGCAAGCTAATCATTTTTCAGAAAGCACACAGTCTTATTTCTACCTACTTTCTATTCCCATCACAACAGCCCAAAATGCTGGGGTGCTTGGGTGGCTCAGGGGATAGAGCCCTGTGTCAATTCCCCTGTTGAGCTCTGCGCTTAGCATGGAGTCTGCTTGAGATTCTCTCTCCCTCCCTCTGTGCCCCTCCCCCAACTCACACACAAGCTCTCTCTCTCTCAAATAAATAAATCTTAAAAAAAAAAAAAAAGAAGAATAGCCCAAAATACCAAAGATTAAAGCTGACTTTAGAATGCAGATATTTTGCGTATCTAACATATGGACATAAAAGCCAAGTTGGAAACCTTTCTTTTTGTAAGATCCAATGGCTAGAAATTTATGCTTATAATACCTTAGGAAAGATTAATAACTAATAACTCTGATCACACTTAGTACCTTAGAAGGTTTGTTGAAAAGGCAGGCACCACCTCCACTATTCAGAAAGTCATGATACTCTTCAATATTACACTGGGTGAACTTTTTAGGAAGATAATACCTGTAAGACAGAAGAAAAGCAGTAACTGGATATAATGTTAGTCCCCCTTGTCTGTATGTTAGTCTTAAACTTGAACATTGTTAAAATTGTAACATTATTCTTAAAAACGAAAGAATAAATTCCACGTATGTACAGCATTTGTGTTAAATCCCTAAGACTTTGATTCTACCAGCATATTTCTAAATTCTTCATTTGGTGATTAATAGTGACTATGGGCTGTTCATTATTAGCATACGCATTCAAAAGAAACACACACATACCTATATTTTCAATCAAAGAGCACAGGAATAATGAGTCTTTCTTAAATATAAAAACTGGATCCCAAACTGCAGAAGATTTTACAAAATTACTGATTTATAATCTATGAATGTGTCAAAGTCATGAAAGTCAAAGAAAACTGAGGAACTGTTTCAGACTGAAGGAAGATAAGATTGATTGTGAACCATCCGTTAAAGTGGCATTTTTTGAAATACAGGGCTAATTTTGAGTGAGGGCTAAAAATTAGATAATTTTATTGGTTGCATTGTGGTTCTGTAGGAGAATGCACTTGTTTGTAGGCAATGCACACTGAGGTGTTTGGGGGTGATGAGGTACAATGCTAGTGACTTATGACTCAGAGGACAAAAAGGTTCTTTGTTACTATTCCTGCAACTTTTCTTAATTATAAGATTATGTCAAAATACAAAAAAAAAAAAAGTATACCAAAAAAACCCAAAAAGGATCAGAAGAAAAAGAAATGTGGCTAGAGAACAATTTGGCAATATGTATGAAGAACCTTCAAAATGAGAAATATCCTTAAATCTAGTAATTCTACTTTAAGAAATTTTTCTTGAGGAAATAACTAGCTATGTATACAAAGATGAATGAACAAAGGAACTTACAGTAGCACAATTTGTAATAGCAAATGCCATGAAAATCATGTAAATGTTTAGAAGAAAACTGTTAACTGTGATATATTAATAAAATAGAACACCATGGAATTATTAATAATATATCTATTATATTCAATGCTTTCTCAAAACTTTAATTTCTATACCTCTAAGTAGGACTGGTTTTCATTTCAACATGCTTTCCAACACGTAGCAGTGCGCAGAGACTTCAGAAAGTAGAAATGAAAGGGGAGGTGCACACAGGAAATACAGGTCCATAATTAGTACTGTTGCGTGATGTCTGACACAGCTCAAATCATATAGAGCATCATGCCAGACAACATTTTCTTTAAAAAGCTTTTCTCTTGAACACATCCATTTGATGTAAGAGGAGTTCTAATGCAAAGAGCTATGTACATTTCTGAGTGTCGCCATTTGATTTTGCTACACATTATGCTTAGTCTAGGCAGATTGCCTATAAAATTTTGTTTTTAGTAATTAAGCAGAATAATCAAACATAACATACTAAATAGCTTTTAAAAGACGAGAACCTCTAGCTTGGAATTTAGTAAGTGTTAGAAAATTACAATTATGGATAAGGACTTTTATCATTCCCTTTTATTACTAAACAGAAAGTCCAAAGATATTTTGAAAAATATTTTAATACATGTTTGCATATACATTCCCTCTATCATTTATCTTCCTTGTCATACATTTCTTGGGAGCTCAAAATGCAAATATCAATAAATATTTATTGAAAATCAAGTGTGTCAGGAGATTATGGTGTGAGATCAAACAGAAATACCTATTAGTGTAAGATGTAATCCTCAAAGATTCACAACTAATTGGTGAGGCAAAGCATAAGGACATACGGAATTAAATTACAATGCAGGAGTTAAAATTATAATAAATCTCAAATGGTTAGAAATGTGGTTAGAGAGAAATGAGAATTCCAAATGAAAAAATATATCAACGGAATCAAAAGAGGCTGGAAATTAATGTACATTTACAGTGAGCAAATTTTTAAGAAGCTTAAAATCCATGTAGGATTATGGTTAGAAGATCAAAAAAGCTGGAAACCCCTGTATAACTATCATAATAAGCAAACCAACCATGAATAGCAGGGGAAAACGAGGTTGTAAATGAGGATGAAGAAAGATTATGCATATCCAAGTACTGGAGGAAGAACTCCAAACCTCATTCTTCAGACAACAGAGTCTCAACAAAAGTTTCTGAGCAGGAAAATTATATGATTCATGTGCAGAAAGAGGAGAATGGAGGAATTTGTGCTGTATACATTCAGTGAACTAGAACTGTATATTATCAGCATGGATAAATCTTAAAAACATAAAGATCAAAAAGAGCAAATCACAGAAGAGTACATATAGTATGACTCCTTTCATATAAACTAAAAACATGCAAAGCAATGCTATGTATTACTTCAACATACACATATAAACAATAAAAGTATTAAAAGGGGCTTGTGAATAATATGAACCAAATTCAAGACAGTAGTGACTTTGGCTGGGATTGGGGAGCAACAAGAGAGAACAGAAGGGAAATTTAACTATGTAGGAAGTATTTTTTTAGGCCAGGTGATGGTATACAAGGGTTCACTCTTCTACTCTTTATGCCTTTTCAGTGACGATAGAAATGGAATTCAGGAGGGGAGAGAGGGAGGCTGAAATTTGCCCGGGTATCTGGAATGTTATTAAGATAATAAAAGCTCAAGATGATAAAAGTTGAAAGTAAAGAGTAGTGATGATCTTGGCATGAAAGGAATGGTTGTACAATTTACTAAGAAAAAATAAATACAAGATTGGTGCCTGACAGTGTGTTGAAGGGTATAGAAATGAAAACCTTTCTCAGGAGAGCAGAGTATACACATCTCTTCCACACTCTGGCAGCTTGAAATCAGCCATTGTAGGAGTACTTACACCACAAAAATCAGAGAAAGCTACAAATCCAGGTTCTTTTCTTGTTTTTTATTTTGAGAATCAGCTTACCAGCACACTACTGTTTACAACCCATTTAATTGGAATTGAAGAGACAAAAGAAAAGAAAATTAGTAGGTAAGCCATGAAGAACAAAGCTGTTCCTCACTTACATTTCTAGCCTAGATGAAAGGCTAACAAAGTCTTTGGTCTTCTATCTTAACTGACAACAATTGTTTTCATAAATAAGAGACTATTTTATGAAAATATTTTATAATAGAGAGCCATTGAGAAAATCTACATCCAATTTTCTTTTTAATGTCGATGGTGAGGTTCCACGCACTAAGCTGTTGGTGTCATATTCCTAAGGAGACAACAGCACAGCAGAGAAAGTAAAAGTGAGTTATTTTCAAATAGAAGTGGCTTACCCAGTGTCTCCCATTATGCATCCAGACCATGTGTCCTCACATCTACACTCACCTAAGAGAAAATGAATACAAATGCCTTTTTATAAAGTGAAAACAGGTGCATTAGAGTAGTTTTTAAAGGTATATCTTCACTTTACTCCTTAAATACCCTTAAGAAGTAATACCTGCTTTCTAAGTTTCCTTATATTTGAAGTTTTGCATGCAATTCATAATAACAAAAATCTACTTTGACCATATCAAGATTATATAATTTTTACTAAATTAAAACCTTGATATTTTAACAAGTGGCCTTATTTTTAAAGCATTCATTAAAATGCTTTAAAATGGTTTAACAATCTAATACCAGTGAAATAGCATCACTATAGGATTCTGGTTTCACAGTCCCTTATGGGAATTCTTACAATTTCTTGTCCAGTTTTAAAACCTCTGCACCAAAGCTGCTGATAGAAGGCAGTATAGTATATTGTTTAAGCAGAAAGGCTTAAACTACCTGGGTTCAAAACCTGGACTTGCCACTTACTATATGAGTAATCTTGGAGATGTTACCCTTTTTAACATCCAGTCACCTTATTCTGTAAAATGGGGCTAATTGCAGGATTATCTTGAGGATTAAATGAGTATCTAGATGTAGATAATACTGGCATTCAATTATCTGTCTTTTAATGGGCACTTCATAAATGGTAATAGTTATTATTAATATAAACAATCATTTATATTTGTTATTAAAATAATAAGATAAATACGATTCTAATCAACTTACTCCAAATACATGACATTTGACTATTCCTGGTGAATTAACTTTACCTACTTGGGAAAATATATTCTTCCTAGATGCTAGTCCCAGCATAGTTTACCAGAGCCCTTTAGCAGGCAAACTCTCCTCTATGGCCATACTAAGAGATGTTTTAAATAAACCATAATAAAACAGTATACCTTGAACCTACATGCCTAGGATTCTCTACGAGACCATTTAAAATTACCAAACTGAGCTTATTTTGTCCTTTTTTAAATTCAACAATGAATTTATCACCACATAGCTTTAAATGTTAATTACACATGGAGACATCTTCACCTACAGGGCAAACATTATCTTGTATAACTTTTGAAGAAAATATTATATGCCCCAGCTGTTTATCTTATACCATCTCCCAAACTCATTTGATCAAGCAACTGAATTTAAAATCTCATTCTCCAAAATATTTATAGAGAGTCTACTTTAAATACAACTAAACCATAAGGGTGAACTTACCACTTGCTAACTTTCTTTTGTCTGAAATAATACCAATATTATGGGCTAATGACTGGGCGAGAGTAACTGCCATTAAATCAGTTTTCCCAAACTGAAAAACAAGAGCAAAAACAAAATACATGTAAATGCGAATTATTTTTTATTTAAGATGGACCAGAGAAAAATGACACAATATAATTGGAAATAAGTAATTTCTAAGCCTCTTATTTAGTAGAGGTTAAACATACAGTAGCTAAAGCTGAACGATGGAGCATTTGAGAAAAAAGCTGTAAGAAATAAACCTATGTTTGATTCAATCTTATAGGGAAGACTAGAAGCCAGGGAGTCACCACCTTTCGGGTTTAGAAAATTAAGTCTAATTCTGAGTCCAAATTTCACTAGTGACATTTCTGAAAAACTTAATACTTGTATATACATAAGTCAGTCTTTTAGAAAATAGTAAAAGTAAATGTGTAAATTATTTGGAACTTGTTCATTTTTGTGTGTCTACTTGCATGCCCCAAATTTCCCCAAATTAAATAGAATGTGGCTTCAGAAAACAAATGGTATGAGTAACAGGAAGTGGTAATGATCTGTGGGCAAAAGAAACTTGAGACCTAAAGATACTTTTTTCAATATGTTGATTCAGGTATTTTTCTTTTAGATCACTTCCATCAGACTTAGTGCCTTAGGGGTAAAAGAAACTCTTCGGAAAACTTAGTCTATTTTTTTCTCCAAAACTTTGCCAAATATTGAAGAAGGAAGAATATTTCCAATTGGGTTGTCAGGTAGTAAGCCAATGCTTCAAGAATTACTCAGTTCTTCAGGAAATCAGCCAAAGCATAGAGAGGGCCTTATTTTCAATAAAGATAAAAGTAAAGATTTTATCTATATAATTTGTAAATAGCTAAATTTGGAGATTATTCTAAGTAGAACATGAACAGAATTATCAAATATTATCTTCCATTATTTTCCTATTCTCTGTCCTCCGGTCATTTATAGCAACCATATTGGTTGTGAATAAAACAACCTAACATCTAGAGAATAAGGAATATGAGAAATTATCTCTTAAATATTAGGAAAACATTTTCAGCCATCATACCACTTTGTATTGTACAGATGTTCACACCTACTTCATTCACGCCTCCTCCTTTCAGCAACGAGCAAATCCCACCAATATAAGCTGCCCCGCTCCGGCTACTCTCAAATTGACTTCCCCTTTTAGAAAAGGAAATGAAAAATGCTTACTGTTCAAAGTTCCAAGTATCACTGCACCTTTCATTATTAATTTACCACACTTACATTCTCAATGCAAATACATTCCTATACTGTATATTCCTGAGGTAAGGGAGGAATGTGAATATTATTTACACACATAACCAAAGGGTTTCTGAGGGATGTTTCCCCACATGAGCAGTAATACCTTCAACAGAACTATACCTGTTTTGAAAAAATCACTAATATGGTGTACTCTGAGGAGGATACAAAATCACTTCTGTGGTATTTCTGACCAAAATGTCTAACTTGAATCTCTCAATGGGAAAACATCAGACATCCCCACAGTGCAGAACATTCTATAAAATAACTGACCTATACTCTTCAAAAATGTTAAACCCAAAATAAACAAAGAAAGGCTGAGGAAATCTCCCAAATTAAAGGAGACTAAAGAGACAGGACAATTAAATGCGATGCATGACCTTGTCTTGGGTCCTGAATGGGGGAGGGAATTAGCTATCAAAGACATTGTTCAGACAATTGGAGAAGCCTGAATATAGGTTACTTAAAAGGACTGTATCACTGTTAAATTTTCTAGTTTTAGTAATTTAATTTAATAAAAATTTTAATAAAATTTAATAAATTTAACAAAATTTTAATTAATAAAAATTCAATTTACTATGGTGATATAAGAGAATGTCTTTATCTTTAGGGAGTATATATGTATTTAGTAGTGAAGGCCCAGTAAGTATCTCCAACTTGCTCTCAAATGGTTCAGGAAAAAAAAAAATTGATAGATAAATGGATAAAAGGAAAAAGGAAGGGAGGGAGGGAAAAAGGGAAGAAGGAAAGAAGGAAGAAAATAATAAACAAATGGGGCAAAATGTAAATAATTAATGAATCTGGGTAAAGAGCATATATTTCCTTGCAGTATTCCTGCAAAGTTTCTATAAATTTGAAATTGTGTAAAATATAAAAGTTACCCAAAAATATACTCTTTTACTTCCATTTATAACTTCCTTCAACAGATCTTACTTTACATAATTTTTTTAAATGCTGTAATATATAGTTTGCTATTATATCAAATATGCATTTATCCCCCCAAAAAAACCATGAGAGTGAGAAAAAATTAAAAGTAAACTCCAGAAATACTAAGGTCTTACCTTAGGACCAAAGCAAAGGTAACATTAACATTTAAAATATAGAAACTTTAAAGAATATAATTAATCTGTCACGAATATTCTTTATGGGTATTAACAGTACTTTTGCTCAATAAATGGTCTGATTAAATCTCTTGAAAATTAAATAAAAATATACATGCAATAAGAAAATAACTCAAAACTAAACCTCTTATACTTTCAAGACAGCTTCAAAAAATCTATACTTTAAAACTTCTTCCCAATGTATCTGCCATGTCAAATCCTAATTGCATTACACTAGAGAAAGGCTAAATTTTGCCAGATTCCTATCCTAAATGTCACAAGTAATACAGAATTCAACAGGGAACCAAAAAAAAGTAATAAATCGTAAGTTACGTACGAAAAAAGGTGAACTGCATCACTCTTCTCTTTGATAAAATCCCTCCTGTATTTCATAAACTCACGTAGAGTGATCAATGGATTTTCAGATATGGCGAACTTGTTGTCAGCTGCCCAGGTTTCCATAGCAACCAATACTATCCTTGTCTTCAGTTGGTCTTTATATATCTGGTATATTAACAAAAGGAATACACTAGCTATTGTGGTAAAATCAAATGATTTATGAACAGCATTATAAAGCTCCTCTTATGAAAACTCTTTGAGTTCTAGTTAAATGTAAAAAACTCTATTGTCTTTAAGGGAGATCATTATTTTTCTAATTCACATGCATTTTCCTTGAGTAACAGAGAGTCAAACTGTTCACAACTAATACTCAAAGAACAGAGGACTAATTAGAAATAAAAGATCACTTTTTGACAAATATTTGCACCCTTTTTCAAGGATCTCCCTGAGTCTCTTTTCTGGCACCCTGGAGAAAGAATTCACGCATTTTTGGGTTTCCCAAGAGAAGAATGGAACAACGAAGACTCCCCTAGGATATAATTTCTATATAACCTGACTGGTCCCAATTAAACTCATGGAGAAGGTACCCACATTGCCTCGTCAGGCAGAAAGTAAATATAGTAGGATTACTAGTGCATCATTCACACACAACCAGGCACTCTCTTGAAAACAGCACAACCACCTCTTTCTCCAATGTTGGAAGTACACAATGAATATCTTCGTCAAGGACTCAACTTTTTATTTTTCAGTGTGAAAAATATAAGGAGAAATTTCAAGCATCAATCCATGGGTAACTTTGACCACCTCCTTTTATCATCTTCCCAGCCAGAGATCAAAATCAATAAAGTCCACTGCAAGGTTACTAGGGACACCTTGCCTAAAGTGCAATTCAGGGCACCGAAACTATAAGAACCATATTATCCATTCTGTTAGCAATCAGGAGATGAAATTCCTCTATGGCAATATTGAATCAAGTTGATACTTACTAAATCTGCCATGTTCACCACAGATTTCGCATATGTATTGGTATGTACAACTGAAAGCCGATGTTTTTTAAACTGAAAAAACAAAACAAAAAAAGTAAAGGGCTTCCAAATAATCACCTCAGCAGAGAAAACATAGTGTAACTGAAATATCTCTATGGCTTTCTGTAAAAAAATTATAAGAGCTGAGAACTAGTTTTTTATATGCTGTGCAGTCTGAGGAAAGGTTCTTAAGAATTTGAGGTCTCAGTTTACTTAACTGCCAGAGGAAGTAAAAAATACCTATTCCATCCATTTCACAAGTTTATTTTTAACAAAGAATTGTTATTCAAAATGATAAAACGTAGGAAAGTTGTCTATGAATTGCAAGACATACACATATAAGTAAGGTGGATAGCCAGAAAAAGTGTATGTGAATAGTGTAAAATATCACCACAAAATAGCATGTAAAACCTGATTTTTGGCTTCCCTTAAAATTAGCATCCCTCATGGTGATGCTTGCAAGTACTGAGAGGCAGCCACTCCCATTAGACAGGCCATGTATCTTTTCTTTTGCCACAGGCCTCACCCCTCCCTATTGTTTTACATCTGGCTTACTTCATTTGTGCTACCTGCCTACAGATCTCTGCAGGCATCTGAATGTGCGCTATCCTAAAAAGTCGAAATAATATGTTCTTACAACTTATTCTGATCATGTAAAAATCTCAGGAAACAGTAACATTCACTGACTTCCAAGAGGTTAGAAAGATAAAACTTAGTTCTAGCCTGAACAAAGAAGAACTCAATCTGGATTTTATTATTATTATTATTATTATTATTATTATTGGCAACAATAGGTGATCGATGTTTGTTTAATCATATGCAAACAAATGACACATTTTCCCTCAAATCACTCAAAGTAAATTAAAATGTACTTATCCCTGAAATTAAGTAAAATTCAGCAATGTGCATCATGGAACATGTTTAGTTTAAAACTGAGGTTACATAGAGCAGGTAACATTACAACTCACTGCTGTGCTGTAAATGTAAGCTACTTCCTGCAACATGCCCATGCACTGAATATACACACTCTGGGTCAAAATAAATGACTCAGCAAGAAGGAAGTTTTGCCAGATTCCTATCCTAAAGTCTTCACTGCTTGCCTATATATAAACATTTCCATATGGTTTGTTGCATAGCAGGCCAGAAATTGAAAAACTGCTTTTCTTTTATCAGGATAAAGCTGTATGCTGCAAACTAAAGTGTCCCATTACTGGTGCCTCACTGATTTCTTCAAAATACAAATATTCATTAAGCAAATCCGAAGGGCTGACTAACTCTAAGTCAAAGAAGTATTTCTGGAATGTCACAAAATACTGCTAGTTACTTCCACCTAACAATGTTTCCAGTTTAGAGGTTGTTACTCGCTAACAAAATACATTTGGCTACATACACAAATGTCTTTTCCAAGTTACAATTTTCTGGGTTTCTTGTTTCTTCTAAACATATTTCTGTATCCACCAGTTTTACCCCTTGGCACACACAAGTTCAAACGACAAAAAATTTAGCACATCCTACCATTAGATGATCGTTGACAATCATCAGCTCAATATATTTGGTCTCCTCCTCTATGTTACGAGGATGTCGACGAAGCTGCAATATGGTAAAGGAAATAGCACCTACATAAGCCCCCTGAACTTGGCTGTGGAAAACTAAAAAATATGTTACATATTATGTTGCATATTATACTGTACCCTTTTTCCAAACACTTCTGATTTCGACACTCACAGCCCCTGGCAACCACTTTTCTACTGTTTTGTGAGTTTGATTTTTTTTTTTTTTGGTTCCACATATAAGTGATACCTTGCAGTATTTATCTTTTTCTGTCTGGTTTATTTCATTTAGCATAATGCCTTCCAGGTTCATCCATGTTGTCACAAATGATAGGATTTTCTTCTTTTTCAAGGCTGGATGAAACTCCACTATATATATAGACACCACATTTTCTTGATCCAGTCATTCGTTGATGGACACCAACATTGATAACACTGTATTATATAATTGAAATTTGCTGACATAACTTAAATGTTTTCACCAAGGGAAAAAAAAAGGTAAATATGTGAGGTGATGGATGTATTAATTAACTCAATGGAGGGGTTCCTTTCTCTCTCTCTCTCTCTCTCTCTATATATATATATATAATCATCCTATTGTATACTTCAAGTATCTTAACAATTTTGTCAATTAATTATACTACAATAAGGCTGAAAAAAGTGTTTTTAATTAAAAAAACTAAAACATATGAGAGAAATAAACATTTCCACTTTTATTCCTTCAGAATTTTTTTTCATTTTTGTCAATTTTACTCAATTTTTGAACAGGTAATAAATTCATATCATTCAAAGATTAACTAAAGAACTATAAAGAGGTTCAAGATCAAAGTCTTCCTCTCACTTCTGTTCCCCATCTACCTAGTTGCTAACCTTTCTCCCCACAATGGGTATAGCACAGTTACTGGTTTCTTCCAGAAATATTTATGCATATAAAATCAAACATAACATATATTTTATTTAGTACTTCTATTTATTTCACTAGCTTTTGCATCAGGCAAAATCAGGTTATTCTCATTTACCAAGTATATCTTGGAGATTGTAACACACGAAGTGCATTCTTTCTGGTTTAATTTAAGCTTCTGAGGATCTCTGAGAGGATACAGGGGGTGTCTAGTGGACACTTTTATTCTCTAATCTCCAAATCTGGGATTGAGAATGCCCTTTCTTCCTCTGGTACAGTTCAAGGGATCCCCCAAATGATGTAAGAGTTTTATTAAGATAGTTTTGAGAGCTTCCAGGCAGTTTTGGTTTATCTATTACAGCTATGTTATATCTATCTGTTCAACAATGAATTTTCTCCACCTTCAAAATCATGATCAGTGGATGCTACTGGTAGGAGAAACTAAGGCAGCCATATGCCTTGGTTCCCTGCAGTTCATCTATAACACAGTCTTTAACAAGAGCTGTAAAATTAACTTTTTCCATTATGCCATGCTTATCATATGATCTCACTTGTATGTGGAATTTAAGAAACAAAACAGAGAATCATAGGGGAAGGGAGGGAAAAATTAAACAAGAGGAAATCAGAGAGGGAGACAAACCATAAGAGACTCTTATCATAGGAAACAAACTGAGGGTTGCTGGAGGGGAGGGAGTTGGGGGATGGGGTGACTGGGTGATGGACATTAAGGAGGGCACGTGATGTAATGAGCACTGGGTATTATATAAGACTGCTAAATCACTGACCTCTACCTCTGAAACCAATAATACATTATATGTTAATTAATTGAACTTAATTTAAAAAAACAAAAAATTTGAGGAAAAAATAAAATTATCCTATTCTCTGATCTCGTAATTCACGAAAATAAACACTATTTCAAATTAAATCTTGTTGGCAATCTTCATTTACTTAACTGGGCCTCAATATATACATATATTCACAAAATACATAAAGCTCCTGGTAGCAATTCATGGAACCCAAAGCCTTCTGAGAGGCAGTGTATAAAGCATATATGGTTATAAGCACTTCTCTGAGACTAGACTTTCTAAGTCAGAATCTGAACTCCACCACTGAGTAACTCACTATTACCCTGGGCAAGGCTCTTAAGCTTCTTATGCTTCAATGTCCTTAGCAGTAAAATGGGGATAATAATAATACCTTCCTCATAAGATTATAATGAGGATTAAATGAGTTAATACAATTAAAATTTTTAGAACAGAGCCAGGCACGGGTACCTGTGCCTCAATAAAACAAACAAAAACCAATTATTATTCACATTAGAAATGTGCCTATAGTTATTTTATTTCATACTTATTAAACATATTTTATATAGAAGATAACTGGTTTCTTACTAGAAATCCATTTCTCTCATCCTGTGTTTTTTATGCCAAACACACACACATAATACATGATATCTTAATTCTAATAACCAGGGTTCTGTTGTTTCCTTTTCTTTTTTGAGTATACTGGACACACGATGCTACATTAGTTTCAGGTGTACAACCTAGTGATTCAACTTCATACGTTACTCTGTGCTCACTGAGCCATCTGTCACCAGACAACACTCTTTTTTTTTTTTTTTAAAGATTTTATTTATTTATTTGACAGAGAGAGAGAGAGAGAGACAGCTAGAGAGGGAACACAAGCAGGGGGAGTGGAGGAGGGAGAAGCAGGCTTCCCACCGAGCAGGGAACCGGATGCGGGGCTCGATCCCAGGACCCCGGGATCATGACCTGAGCCGAAGGCAGACGCTTAACAACTGAGCCACCCAGGCGCCCCCAGACAACACTCTTAAAATATCACTGACTATTCCCTGTGCTGTGCCCTTTACCCCCACGACTTACTCATTCCCTACCTGGAAGCCTGTGTCTCCCACTGTCCTTCACATATGTTGCCCATCTCTCCACTCACTTCCCTCTGGCAACCACGTTTGTTCTCTATATTTACAGATCTGATTCTGCTTTTTGTTTGTTTATGCATTTTATATATCTTAGACTCCACAAATGAGAGAAATCATATGGAATTTTGATGACTAGAGTTCTTATTCTACCTCAACCATTTCCCAGCTCTACATTTCTGGTCATTTTCACATTTCAAAGACATCATTTTTTTTTCCCGTGAAAGGGGATTAACAGTACCTACATTTCATGTGGTGTAAAGCAGGATACAAGGACTTAGTATTTTTGCTAAGTCCAAGATCCACTGAACATTCATAAAGTGGACATCCTGAGTTTATATCCCAGACTCCAACGTAGCTCAAGGGTGACAAGAGCATTCTGTGGCTTTAAAACCTGATGGAGTCCCTCTTAAAGGGGTATCTTTACAAGTAGACTCCATGACGTGATACAACACACAACCCAGGCAAGAAAAGAGGCCTACAATAGAAAGGACCGGAGATGCCATAGCTAGGGCCATAATCTGCCTGTATGATGAATAACCATATTATCAACACTATCATGAGTCCTTTTTGAGTCTATGAAACAACATGGCCTCCCTCCACGGCTCCTACAGATCGGTCATCTTACTGTTTACCACACCTTGACAAATGCCTGAACTAAGACTTAACCCTCTTACAGAGACTTAATGTAGAGTTAAATGACTGGCAGTTGCCAAGTGTTTTTTTTTGTTTTATTATTTTTTTTTTTTTTAAAGATTTTATTTATTTGACAGAGAGAGACACAGCGAGAGAGGGAACACAAGCGGGGGAAAGGGAGAGGGAGAAGCAGGCCTCCCTGAGCCCAATGCGGGGCTCGATCCCAGGACCCTGGGATCATGACCCGAGCTGAAGGCAGACGCTTAACCACTGAGCCACCCAGGCGCCCCTTGCCAAGTGTTTTTAAAACATCATGGAAGAGGGCGCCTGGGTGGCTCAGATGGTTGAGCGTCTGCCTTCAGCTCGGGTCATGATCCCGGGGTCCCGGGATCGAGTTCCCCCATCGGGCTCCCTGCTCCTTGGGAGCCTGCTTCTCTCTCTCTCTGCCTCTCATGAATAAATAAATAAAATCTTAAAAACAAAAAACCATGGAATATACCTGTGAATACATACCTGCCGTTTACTTCTTTTTGGTCTTGGCTTCAAAATAAATTTTGGTGGAGTAATGTGTACTTGTTGAAATTCTAAAAGGAAATAAAAATAAATGAATTCAGTGCATTTCCCAGGTTTCTTTCAGACAGGGCAAAGTTTTACTATCCCTTCCTCATATAAATTGTATAATTATATTCAATTTAGCTATTAACTATTAGCAATTATTATAGTTATTAATAATTAATATAAATTCATAACTTATAAATTATATAATTATAACTATATGGTTATAAAGTTTATAATGTATGTTACATTTAAAGATAATATAAAACATTAATCAAAAAATTGTGTTCATATGAATACTAAATAAAATATTACCATGAATGAAATTTAAAAAATTTATCTCCAAATTTTAATTTATCTCCAAATATTTCTCATATTTTTCCTATGAATACCACCACATTCTTTATCCAGAATCTTCTGAATAGCCAACCTAACCTTCCGAGACTGACCTTCATTAAAGAATGACACACCAAGTGCTGGTGAAGATGTGAAACAACTAGGTATCTCAGATAGTGCTGATGAGAGTGTCAGATGGTATAACCACTTCAAGAAAAAGGTTCAGCAGTTCTCATACAACCGGAGTTCTCAGAGTGCAATCCAAAAACTAAAGACATCAACATTACCTGGGGACTTGTGGGAAATGCAAACTCTCATAACCCATCCACGATGTACTGAATCAAAAACTCTAGAAACTGGTACAGCCACTATGGAAAACAGTATGGGGGCGCCTGGGTGGCTCAGCTGGTTGAGCGACTGCCTTTGGCTCAGGTCATGATCCTGGAGTCCCTGGATCGAGTCCCGCATCAGGCTCCCTGCTCGGCAGGGAGTCTGCTTCTCCCTCTGACCCTAACCCCTCTCATGTGCTCTCTCTCATTCTCTCTCTCTCAAATAAATAAATAAAATCTTTTAAAAAAAAAAACAAAACAGTATGGAAGTTCCTCTCAAAAATTAAGATAGAAATACCATGTGATCCTGCAATCCCACTTCTGGGTATACAGTCAAAGGAATTGAAATCAGGATCTCAAAGACATACCTGAACTCACGTTCACTGCAGCATGATTCACAACAGCCAAGATACAGAAACAACCTCAATATTCACCAGTGGATGAATGGATAAAGAAAATGTGCTATGAATGTGCAATAAAGTATTATTTGGCCTTGAAAAAAAAAAAGAAATCTTTCCATTTGTGACAACACGGATGAACCTGGAGGACATTACACTAAGTGAAACTAGCCAGACACAAAAGGACAAATACTACATGATACCACTTATATGAGGAATCTGAAATAGTCAAACTCCTAGGAGCAGAAAGTGGAATGATAGTTGCCAGGAGCTGAGAAAAGGGGGAAGCAGGGAGGTATTAGTTGAAAGGCACCAAGTTTCAGTTGTACAAGACGAATAAGTCCTAAAGATCTACTGTACAGCAGAGTGGCCAGAATTAATAATACTGTATTGCATATATAAATTTTGTTAACAGTGTAGATCTTACGTTGTATTCTTTTCACTACTACTACTAATACTACAATAACAATAATAAAGACAGTGGAAAGAAACTTTTGGAGTTAATGGGTATGCCTATGGCATAGATTATGGTGATGACTTCATGGATGTACATTTATCTCCAAGCCCGTCAAGTTGTATACATTAATTATGTACAGCTTTTCTCTAGTGTCAATCACAACTCAATTAAGGGGCTTCAAAAAGCCCACCAGACATGGAGCCAGCAGTCCGTGATTCTCTGATACACTCTGCCGTTTGAGAAACACTGTTATACAGTCAAACACACACCTACCTTAAGACCCGGCATTTCCACTGCCAGGTATTTGACAGAAGAAATGTAAACACGTGTCCACAAAACAGATTTTTATAAGAAGGTTTAGAGTCCTTTTATTCGTAATAGCCAACAACTGGAAACAACCCAAATGTCCAGCCACAGAATGGATAAAAGACTGTGGTAACTTTAAACAGCAGAACATGGGCGCCTGGGTGGCTCAGTCGGTTAAGCGTCTGCCTTCGGCTCAGGTCATGATCCCAGGGTCCTGGGATCGAGCCCCGCATCGGGCTCCCTGCTCCGCGGGAAGCCTGCTTCTCCCTCTCCCACTCCCCCTACTTGTGTTCCCTCTCTCGCTGTGTCTCTCTCTGTCAAATAAATAAATAAAATCTTTAAAAAAAAAAAAAAAAAAAAAAAAATAAACAGCAGAACATACTCAGTAATTACAAAGAATGAACTGTTGCTAACCTCTGACAACATTAACCTCCTAGGCACATGCTAAGCAAAAGAAGCTGGACACATGTGTGATTCCATTTGCATGAAGATCTAAAACAGGCTAACCTAAAAGTCAGAAAAGGGATTGCAGAAGTGTGTGGTGCTGACTGGGAAGAGGCACAAAGGAAGGTACCAGGATGATGGGAATGTGCCAAATCTCACCAAGGGAGTGCACGTGTGCCAAATCATCTAATGGTATACAAGATTTATATATTTCCTGGTAGGAATTTTAAAAACAGCCTGTGCTAAGGGGTCTGTAGGAAATAAATAAACTTCTCTCAAACGTTTTCTTAGGGACACTAATCCTAAGAGATGTGTCATATAAAACAAAAGGTTCCACAAGTTAAACAAGTTTGGGGAACATCTGATCATATTCTATCTCTAGGAAATACATAATGCATAGCAGGACAAAGGTATTGATAATCCAGGACCCAGGAAAACTTTATTAAATCTAAAATAAAAAAGCTTACTCTTGAGCTTATTTCACAAGAATTTTTTTTCTAATTTATCATAAATCCAGGCATCTAGAAAGACAAATAATACTCTTAAAATTGACAGTGCCAACTTCTGACAAGAGAAGAAAACCAGAAACTAACTGAAACAGACCTGAGTTTTGGAAGAAGATGTTGAAAGTTAATTTTAATGACAGCAAAACTGCCAAGTCATCTTTAAAGTTTCTGTGGGAAAGTAACCCTGAACAAAGTTTTTTAAAAAATTGTATGATTAGGGGTGCCTGGCTGGCTCAGTCGGTAGAGCATGCAACTCTTGATCTCAGTGTTGTAGGTTCAAGCCCCACGATGAGTATAGAGATTAAAACAAAATCTTAAAAAAAAAAAAAAAAAAGAATCCACTACGATGGAAAACATTTCATTCTAAAAAACAAATTGTACAATTGGATTATATTAAAGTCCTTATGGGGATCTTTATTTATTACTTTAAATATTAATTAATGTTCTTTGCTTCTAATAAGACCTATTAGATTGTAGCTTTATTCTCAGGCAGTTAGTCATGATTTACTTTCCTCCCATAATAGGGACTGTAAAAAATTTCATACGGTAACTGAAGGAACAGCCTAAAGTGTCTGTGTAAAGTAAGAGCATCTATATGCTTATTTGCAGATCTTTCAAAATAGTGAGTTCTGTAAAACAGGATCCTCTATCCCTTTTGCAGCAGGAGAGAAGAACTGCAGAAGATCAAGGAGTTACAAATCTACTTTAGAGAAGGGACCTTAGCAAACACTCATTTCATTTTCCAATGAGGAAACAATGTAAATTTTCTTTCTTAAGTTTTTATTTAGGTAATCTCTACACCCAACGTGGGGCTTGAACTCATGACCCCGAGATTAAGAGTCACATGCTCTTCCAACTGAGCCAGCCAGGCACCCCAACAACGTAAACGTTTGAGTGGTTTTCCTAAGCAGTAGTTTATAAGGATGTGGTCTCGGTCGGATGATTCTACCATTTCCCCTGCACCTCTCTCCAAGCACACATTCTCACACGGCACAATCCACACCCTGCTCAGTCCCAGACTAGCTGTCGGACCCTGGAAGAGACAGGCTGGCTGAGCCTATTTCTTCATCTACAAATGTGAATAATTATATCAATCTCACAGAGCTATAGCGAAGATAAAAATGAGATTAAAAATTAGAATGTACTATAGCCATGGTCAGGGCTCACTAAGTAGGAAAGGAAGCTTCTCCACATAAGACATTCTGAGTGTGTTCTACCTTCAGTAGGAGAAAACCCATAAGTCCTGCAGAGCCAAAGACCAATGCACTCCATACAATCACTGCTCCACTAACAAGCAAAGTATAAGTACGCTGCCCTACTTGTCATGTGAAGATTTGGAAGCAACTCAAACTGACAACTATAAACAAATATAAACAAACACACATGAGAAGCAAAGACTAATTTCACAAAAAAGCACATAATAATAAAAAGCATTAGGGGCACCTGGGTGGCGCAGTTGGTTAACGGTCTGACTCTTGGCGTCAGCTCAGGTCAAAATCTCAGGGTTGTGAGATCGAGCCCTGTGTCAGGCTCCGTGTTCATTGGGGAGTCTGCTTGAGATTCTGTCTCTCCCTCCCCTTCTGCCCCTCCCCCTTTCTAAAATAAATAAATAGATCTTTTTTAAAAAATAATAAAAAGTGTTAATCTATAATCGTTCTTTCTTAAAATGGTGAGGCAAAAAGAGATGAGGAAAACAAATAGGAAAATGATTACAAGTTCATCCCTATGTTAACAGAATCAGTATCTCACTGAAAGTGAAGTTTTCTATATTTTGTCTATGCAGACCAATTTTTGCCCTAACATTATTTCTCCACTCAGAAATACCTTGTTCTTTTTCTAATTTTAAAAAGTCTTCTTCAATGTGCTCAAGCTGTATCTTTCCAAACTCATCCACTACAAACATGAAGTCAGTTCACATTTTATTCTCCCTCCTGATGTCCTTGACTTGATGTCCCTTTCTCTCTAAAATTGTTATGAGTGGTCATGAGCTAAGGGTATTCCACATATAGATTAGCTCTAAAGCATTCAAATGAATTATTAAAGTTGACTTTTTTTTTTCAAGTCATAATATGAATATCATACCAGATGGAAGATCATCCAAGGGAAATTCAAACAGTCTGGACTTGTAAACTGAATGAAAATGGAAATCCTCCTGAAAGAACACAAATAACCAAGATTAAGCACATGCAACCAGTTATCTCCAGTCTCAGGCAATGAGAGCTGAAGAAGCTGAGACTCCTAAAATAACCACAGCTTGACTACACACTCTCCTGGATTTGAAAAGGCAATGGGCCAGGGCGCCTGGGTGGCTCAGTCAGTTAAGCGGCTGCCTTTGGCTCAGGTCATGATCCTGGGGTCCTGGGATCGAGCCCCACGTCCGGCTCCCTGCTCAGCAGAGAGCCTGTTTCTCCCTCTCCCTCTGCCTGCCACTCTGCCTACTTGTGCTCTCTCTCTCTCTGTCAAATAAATAAATAAAATCTTTAAAAAAAAAAAAAAAAGAAAAAGAAAAGGCAATGGGCCACCGCACAACCCTCTCCTGCTCCCAGATTCCCCCAGCACCAGAGAGCTCTCCTATTAGAAACAAAATGCCTCTGCAGACAGAGAAGCCAAAGCCTCTAGTAATGGAAAATAAATGAATGAACCTATTTCCCTAAGGAGAAGTAAGACATCTGGGAAAATGGGCTAATGCTTTTTATAACTGGTTCCTTTCCATGGATCCCTGCACCACTTTTAGAGCCAGATAGTTTTGCCAGGCAAAGATTGCAGAGCTCACACTCGTCTCGTATCGGGGAGTAAGATGACTGGTATAAGTAGATGCCCAAATGGACCTTGCTCCAAAATTCAAATGCCATACAAGTTCTGTGACAAACCAATAGACAAAAAGCCATGTTTCATCTAAGAAAAATTAATGAACATTCAAATAATTATTTCTGGCTCCTTTCAATCAAAAAAAATAGAATGTCATAAACAGTCAAGTTTCATGATATTGTTGTAAAAAACTTCACCTGTCCAAGCAAAATGATATAAAAGTCAACAGTAAGCATCCAGAAAATACAGTACAATACAAATAGCTTCCCCTGGGCATGTGGGTGGCTCAGTCAGTTAAGTGTCTCCTGGGGTCCTGGGATTGAGCCCCTCATAGGGCTCCCTGCTCAGCGGGAAGCCTGCTTCTCCCTCTCCCACTCCCTTTGTTTGTGTTCCCTCTCTTGCTAGTCTCTCTCTGTCAAATAAATAAAGTCTTTAAAAAAAAAATAAAATAAAAAAATAACAACAACAACAACAACAAAAGCTAAAAACAAATCACTTCCCTTTATGGGAGGCAAAACAGTGTATATTTTTAGAAATTACTTGCCTAAGTGAACAATGTTGAATACAAGGAAGAATATCTGTGTGCACAGAGCAAGAATGGAAGTGTATTATGTTTCTCTGCAGTCTACAATATAAACTCAATGCTTTTCTAATTTGTGGAAAATGCATGTTGTGACTAAAAGGAAGGAGAGAATTAAGAAAACTTAGATTTCCCTACATTTCATCAGCACAAGGCCCTACAGACAATGGGCAACAGAGAAAAATCTGAAATCTAGAAAAGAGCGGTGGAAAATCACATTTCTATTGAGTTGGTCTGTTAGAGACTGAATGTTTGTGTCCCCCCGCAAAACCCATATGTTTAGGCCCTCATTCCCAATGTGACTGTATTTGGACAGGACCTATGAGACGGCAATAAAGGTTAAAATAGGTCTTCAGGATGGGGTGGGGCTGGTGTCCCTATAAGAAGAGACACCACAGCTCTGTCTCTCAGCTATGTGGGCACACAGCAGGAAGGAGGCCATCACAACCCAAGGACAGTGCCCTCAACACACACAGACTCTGCCGGCACCTGGATCTTGGACTTCCAGTCACCAGAACTGAGCGAAAATAAATTTCTGTTGTTTAAGCCCCCCACTATATTGTTATGACTGCCTGAGCAAACTAAGACAAATCATAGAACATTATAGTGGAGAAAGAACAAAAATGGAGGCTTCAGAACACCTCAGAAAGTATTTCCAATATACAGAGTAAAACAGACTTAAAAAAAAAAGAAAACCCACTTGTGATTTTGACTGAGTCAGTATTAATTTTATATATATGGGATATATTTATATTTATTATCCTGACCCTAAAAATAAGAAAATATAATAGAGACAAAAAGAGGAGGAAAAAAGAAGGGGAAAAGCTCCCAATATCAATTTTTACATTTGCCACAGAAAACAGAAGGAGCACTTACTGGGGAGGTGTCATTTTCTTCTGGTTCAATGAGATAGGTGTGGTTGCCATCATAGAACATCCCACTGCCAAGGACAAGAAAATAATTACGCATGGCTATCGACTCTTGCCTCAGAACAAGATCATTTTAAAATCAGCCGCTGCCAGAGAACTAATTTACTTCTCAACACTCACTTCCCAGTCCCACCCATCACCACCAGATACACACCACATACCATACATACACAGACACACACACACACTCCACACACACACACACACCACTAAGAGGGAAAGGCCCCTCCCTCTGAATCCCCACAATCCTGACCCTTCCCCAAGTTCAGGAGTATCATTCTATAATTGTGGTCCATTATCTTCCCTCCAACACATAATTTTTTTTTTTTAAGATTTTATTTATTTATTTGAGACAGAGAGAATGAGAGAGACAGAGAGCACATGAGAGGGGGGAGGGTCAGAGGGAGAAGCAGGCTCCCTGCCGAGCAGGGAGCCCGATGCGGGACTCGATCCTGGGATTCCAGGATCATGACCTGAGCCGAAGGCAGTCGCTTAACCAACTGAGCCACCCAGGCGCCCTCCAACACATAATTCTAAAACTTTAATATGCAAATAGTCATCTGGAGAGCTTGCAAAAATGTAAAACTTTCAGGGCCTTCCTCAGATTTCTTGGCAAGGGCCCAGGAAGCTGCATTTTAAACAAATCCCAGGCAGTTCTGATGCAGACCGTCAGGGCTCTATCGAGAATTGCCTTCCTACCACACACCTAGAAGACGCTCTCGTCACAAGAGGTGACACATTTCAACAGCTTACCAGGAGCTGAAAACTTTACACTCATTTCATCTTTCCACAAATGTGTGAAGGAGGTACACTCATACATTTGCCTATACTCGTTTTACAGGGAAGGAAACCAAAGCCCAAAGAAATGAAGTAACTTGCCCAAATTACATAACCGGGAGGAACAGAGGCAGGGAGAGAGCGAGCCCAAGCAGATTGGTTCCTGAATTGCCCATCTCCAATTGGCTGCCTCTTCACCCATTTGCTCATTCAGCGCACACTTAAGCACCTATGATGCACTGCTCTAGGTGCTAGGGATACAGCAGTGGACAAAAGAGACCAATTCTCTGCCCTCATGGTGCTGATGCACATTCTAGGGTGGACAGACCAAAAAAAAAAAAAAAAATATATATATATATATATATATATATATCATCAACAACTAAATATATATGAGGTGGTGAAAAATTCTAGGGAGGAAAATAAAGTAGGTTAAGGGCAATAAATGGTACCAGAGGACTGGGTGTAGCGACCAAGGAAAGAAGACTATTGATTTATATAGAGTCTTAGAGAAAGGCTTTCTAGAGAAGATGGCATTTGAACAAAGATCTGAAAGAAGTGAAGGGATGAGCCATAAGGATATCTATGCAAAGACCATGTCAGACTTGAGCCCTATGTGTGCTCCAGGAACATCAAGGATGCAGAGTGGCTGGAGGAAGGGGATGAGGGGAGGGCCATAAAATGAGATCAGAGGAAGAGTGGGGACCACATGAGGCAGGCCTTCTAGGGGCGGTGGCTTTTACGCTGAGAGACATGTGGAGCCACTGCAGGGGCTTAAGGAGAGGTAAACACAATCACTCTTAAACTTTAAAATAATTGCTCCAACTGCTACGTTACAATAGTCTTTTGGATGGCAAGGATAGAAATGGAGAAGTTATCTCGGTAATCCAGGTGAAAAAAGAGGGTAACCGCCTAGATCACCGTGGTATTGGTGGAGATGATGAGAACTGGTCGAATTCTGGATACTTTTCAGAAGTAGAACTAACCAAGAGGATTTATTGGCAGATTTGAAATGGAATATGCAAGAGTCGTGTCAGTGAAGACTCCAAGGTGTTTTTTTTTGTTTGTTTGTTTGTTTTAGATTTTATTTATTTATTTGAGAGAGAGAGAATGAGAGACAGAAAGCAGGAGAGGGAGGAGGGTCAGAGGGAGAAGCAGACTCCCCGCCGAGCAGGGAGCCCAATGCGGGACTCGATCCCGGGACTCCAGGATCATGACCTGAGCCGAAGGCAGTCGCTTAACCGACTGAGCCACCCAGGTGCCCCGACTCCAAGGTTTTGACCTGAGCAACGCGTGAGAGAGAATTCCCAGTTAATAAAATGCGAAAAGCCGCAGGAAGGACAGAATGGGCTAGGCACATGGAAGAAGGATGCAGGGAGGGGGCATAAATCTGGAGTTGGGTTTTGATCTCTTAGGCTGGAGACGACTATCAGCCAACTGAGGAATCCTCTGGAGGGCATTTTAATCTACATATGGCTTCAGCTCCACCCAGAGAGATCCCAATGAGCCACTCCTTCTAAAGAACACGGTTCTTCTACTGAGATCAAGCCCCTTGTGATGCTAAAGCAATGTGTCTTATCATTCAGGCATTTGAGGGGGGACAAGGTGGGATCTTCTGGAGTCATTTTTCAGTGTTCTATGGAAATGACTGCCTGAGATCCAAACTGTTACGCATAAAATAGTATTTATCTTTCACTGACGGCTTAGTGAAATCAGTTGATTTCCCTGAGCTATAATTACAATGGCCTCCAGCTCTGCCTCTATCCAAATTCTTTCATTCCTGCTGTAACATCTTCCACATGTCCTCAACTTTCATATACCCTTAGAACGGCTACTCTCACATCTGTAAGATTTTCAACCAAAGTACACTTTTTGAATTTGGACGACACTGCATTTGGAATTTAAAGATAAACAGATGCACTTTGTAAGATATTACTGACAATACATGCCTAAGGAATCAGAGTTGGGGGGAGCCTTTTCAAAACAGTAGACCAAATACAACAGTAGACATTCTCTCTGCCCTGCTAAGAACTGGCCAGACTCATCCAGAAAATTGTACAGTACCATCACCTTTTGCCAAAGTTCACATGGCTATGCTGATTAAGTGGCAAGCAGATCATTTTGTTTAAATAATACAGGGTATTATTTCCTCTTGCATTAGGTCAGTGTCGAATGTGAAAATCAGGGACTTTTATTGGGTTTAAACATCATGATACACAGTGTAAAGAAAGCAAAATCTGACACCATATGTACCTAGAAGATTCTGGCTCCCTATATGACAATGTGCCATTAGTAATTCTTTAACTTATTAAAAAGTATATGTTTTATTTACTTTGTTTGAGGATTGACACCTTTCTGTTATATTTATATAAATTCCAATAAGTGCAGTGAGTCCACACAGAGCATATATTCGATAAAAACCTGCAGCTAGGACATACTTATTATAGGCCAATTGAGCTGAAATTTTAAGAGGGATCAAAACAAGATTTTGAAAAGAAACAGCCATTCTTACAAATTGCCACAAGAGGGCAATAAACTTACACTTGATTCCATTCTTTTGGGTTCCCATAGTTACAGGATTTTTGTCATAACATCAAACGTACCAGGACCAAAATATTGCCCGTTAGTCCTTTGAATTTGAAAAACAAAATGTGCATTTGCAGGTTCTTTATGGAAAAGACATAGAAATCTGATTATTTTTTTCCCTTTATGTTCTTTAACTGAATCCAGTAAATCAAGAAAAATGAAAAATCTCCATATGTACTTGGTAATTTATAAAAGATGAGTCATGGATGAAATAATCTATTTCATATCCAAATCACTGTAATTGAGACAACATAAATTATTTAATATTTAGGTAATATCGTCTAAAATATTTCTGTCAGGATTTTTGTTCAGAAGGTAAAATCAACATAAGAAGTAATAATTGATAAATAACAAGAAGAACAAGAGTAAATTTATCCAACACACTCATAATAGTCTAAGAACACCCAAATATGCTTATATACAATCCTGACAGTGTTCCTAGACACATGGCGCATTTTTCTATTTGTTTCCTTTTGTTTAGTTTTAAATGAAAAGGTTTCTCAAGGCAGAGGTAAATTTTACTTTGTTAAAACAACTGAAGCTGGCTCTGGGTTCTACTCCTGATCTAGTCACTAAAGTTTCCTTACAGTTACTTTTCCATCCTCCTTCAGATACCTATGGGGGATGAGCAGCAAGCTCTTGGTCTCAGGTTCTCAGGTCTACCAGAGCCCTTGGAGGGCAGGGATGTCTTCTCACAAATATGGTGTCTGTTTGGAAAACTGGAAAGCAAAGTGGACTACGTCCTGGGCAAGATGCTTACATGGTAACTTTGGGTTGAGATTTTAAGAGGAAGAGAGAGGGAAAAACGCCTCTTCTTTTTTCTATCACTATCATACATTTGCTGTCACAAATGTCGATGGGCCCAGGGTACTATTCTTAGCTGAAAGCTGCAATCATCTTGAGATCAGATAGAACAGTTTTATTACTGAAGGGCACGTCAATGTTTCCTTCTCCAGATAAGAAAACCAAGGCCCTCAGATATGAGGCATGGATTCCTGTTTGTAAAAATGTCTCCTTAGTCAAAGAATTTATTTAAAATAAGTAAAAGTCTTATTTAGAACCAACAATAAGCGGATGGAGGCCTTTCACGCTCTCAGGCACCTGGCCTCCTTCCTCTGGCTATGTAAGTTTCAGAGTTCCCACACACTCTCCCTTCTGCCTCTGACATACTTACTGCCCAAGCTTGACTGGAGGCACCGCTTACGCAGACTAGCTCGATTTTCCAGGCTGTTCCATTATTTTTATTTCCTAGCTTTCTTGAAGACCTCTCTGCCTACCCCTCTCTCGGAAGACTCTATCAAAGCCTGTTCTAGGGCCCACTCTGGCTTCTTCAGGTGACATTTCTCTGGAGACCTCAAGCACTACCTCATTTCTCAGTGCCCACTCTCTTCTTACATTTTCCTGTTACTTACTCTCTCAAAGAAAACAAATACACCTATCACATTCCCTAGTAGGAAGCTGAGCTAGCTTTACCTGCCCCCACTGGACTCTGAGCTGCCGGGGACAGGAGTCATGGTGTCATGGCCTTGATTTTCCTAGTGACTGGCTCACAGCAGACACTCAGTAACGGCTAGCTCCGTGGAAAAGCCAGATCTCGAACTTGGGAGCTGACAGGATGCATTTTCAAGTTTCCAAACAAAAATTTAACAGAACTAAAGTGCTGACTTGTTCTGTGCCCCAAAAAGTAAGACAAACAAGAAACAACTGAGATGATTTCGTCTAAGTAGAATGCAGAGGAATGACATGGCAGCTTTATAAGGCGTTCACAAAATAAATAAGAGACGGCCACCTGTGTATCACCATTAGCGACAGAATGGAGGAAGTAGGTGTATTCCCAAGTTAAACATCAGCAAACATTCTTTGATAATGAAAGTTATGAGAAAGGAAGCAAGGCCCTGAGAAAGGATGAACTCCGTTCCTTGGAGATTTCTGAGAACAGAAGGACCCTCCCACAAGCTTGCTGTGGGTTTTAGGTGGGATTCAGCTAGAACACATGAGTTCTTGAGGTGACTTACAGTCTGTTGTCTTTGTGCAAGGAGTCAAGAGTTTCCACCTACTGAAATTTCTGTTATTCCATAAAAACATAAAAACTAACATCAGGAAGGAGTAGGGGCAGAGCTGGTACCAAGGGGCTAAGCATCCAGAGAACCAACATTACCCAAACCACTCTTGTCACAATTTGGATGAAACTACAAAAAAGCTTCAAACATCACTGTACGGTATCATATGATAATTCCAAAGACCCTGGTCTGTTTCTGCGACTCTAATTTCAAAATCTGCTCAGCTTATAAACCTCAAGAGAAAAAGATCAGACCCATTACTGATTTAAAATTATTTCTTGGAGTGCCTGGGTGGCTCAGTCGTTAAGCATCTGCCTTCGGCTCAGGTCATGATCCCAGGGTTCTGGGATCGAGCCCTGCATGGGGCTCCCTGCTCGGCGGGAAGCCCGCTTCTTCCTCTCCCACTCCCCCTGCTTGTGTTCCCTCTCTCGCTGTGTCTCTGTCAAATAAATAAATAAAATCTTTAAAAAAAAAGGGGGGGGGGCGCCTGGGTGGCTCAGATGGTTAAGCGTCTGCCTTCGGCTCAGGTCATGATCCCAGCGTCCTGGGATCGAGCCCCGCATCGGGCTCCCTGCTCGGCGGGAAGCCTGCTTCTCCCTCTCCCACTCCCCCTGCTTGTGTTCCCTCTCTCGCTGTGTCTCTGTCAAATAAATAAAATCTTAAAAAAAAAAAAATACAGTTGACTGGGCACCTGGGTGGCTCAGTCGTTAATTGTCTGCCTTCAGTTCAGGTCATGATTCCAGGGTCCTGGGATCGAGCCCCTCATCGGGCTCCCTGCTCAGCGGGAAGCCTGCTTCTCCCTCTCCCACTCCCCCTGCTTGTGTTCCCTCTCTCATTGTCTCTCTCTCTCAAAAAAATAAAATCTTAAAAAAAAATTATTTCTTGACATAAAATAAAGATTTTGATTACAGTGCATTAAAACTAAAGGAAATAAAGGATTGAAAGAATGGATGGTACAAAAAACTGGAGACACTTACTGAAGTCCGTGGCATGTGGACAACGCAACAAATGAAGCCAGGTTTCCTCGGATGTGGCCCTGGTAGTAGCAGTGTTCTCCTCCCTGGAAACAGAGCCAGAGAGCATCAGCCTCAGCCATCACCAGGAGAATCACCAGCATCATTTCACACATTCCCGCCCACACCACAACTCTACGTAGAAAGCTCTGAAGAATACTTTCTTATTCAGATTAGCGTTATCAAACCTGTCCTAAGAGAATTATTCATAAACACTCCTGGTGAGCCAACTCCAAATCAAAAGCCGGGGAAATAAAAGTTGACTAAATTTATGCCTTTTATGAGGTGACGAGAGAAAGAACAAAGAAACAGATACTGAAAAACCCATGTGTTGGGCGCCTGGGCGGCTCAGTTGGTTAAGCGGCTGCCTTCCGCTCAGGTCATGATCCTGGAGTCCCGGGATCGAGTCCCGCATCGGACTCCCTGCTCAGCGAGGAGCCTGCTTCTCCCTCTGACCCTCCCCCCTCTCATGTACTCTCTCTCATTCTCACTCTCTCAAATAAATAAATAAAATCTTTAAAAAAGAAAAAAGAAAAACCCATGTGGCCCCTGCATTAGAATCAGCTGAATCCTCTATTCCACCCCGCCCCCCGCCCCGCATCATGAGAAACTCAACCTTGAGCAGCACCAAGATGATACTCTTTCATATAAGCTAAGTAAAAATGTATATAAATCATTTGAGAGTCACTAAATTAAACTGAAGGAGGAAAATGCTTACTTTTATAGTGTTTATATCAAAACTTGACAAGGTTATACTATTCTGTTCTCCAACCATGAACGGTTTTACCAGTAAGCAGTCCGGGTGGGGCTTGAAATTCCAAAGTTTCTTCTGGCAGCTGGTTACATTAATTCCCATGAGACTCATTTCTTTGGATTAAATGTTCTTGTAAGAGGTAATAGGGTAAATCCTCTGCCATCTCAGGGTGGTGCCTCAGTCTTTAAACACCTGCCACTCAGAGTGTGGTCTAGAAACCAGCGGGTGCTAAGACACTCGGGAGCTGGTCAGAAATGCAGGCCCCACCTATCCACTTACTTTAACTGGCATCTTAACAAGGTCCCTGGTGATTCATATGCACATTAAAGTTTGAGAAGCATTGTTCTAAATGGCCTTTTCCATTCCCCCCACTGACCTCCTATTTCTGCAGAAGCTAAAAGCTCGTAATTCCAACTGACACACTGAGATAGGAAAGAGTGAAATAGGAAGGACTAATAGAATGGGTGGTTTAAAGGGGCAAACGCGGCCGGCTTTCCAGTCTGCCTTACGGATTAATCCTACCCCAAATATTCAGTGCTTGACAAGAGGGGAGAGAACAGGAGCAAACAGGATGTAACAAGGCTGAAGACAGTTTCTTCACTGGAATGCCAAGAAAGCAGCCTGGTCTGTGACTACCGTTTCTCATGAGATAAACCTACAGGATCGAGTGAACCCCAGTTCTGAGGAGGTGGCAGAGAACAGGTAAAAGGGCTCTGATCCTGTGACACCTCCAAATCCCCAAGGGAGTCACTGAGCATCATGAACTGAGGACTGCAGGTGGATGTGATGGAGGGTAAGAAAGAACAGGGTGGTACTCCACCTGTAAGCCTGACAGGGGGTGTAACCCAGTAAAGCACAGACTTCAGCACAGAAATAAAGCCAGACACTGACTTTCTGGGTGGGGCTGGTTTGGTGAAGATGTTAACAGCATGAGCTATCAGCTCCTTTGTTTACTAGCTATGCAATCTGAAGCAAGTTACAGAACCTGCCTGTGTCATCTGTCAAATGGAAGTAACAATTTCACAAGGTTGTTCAGATGATTAAAAGAGGTAAAATGTATAAAGAGCTTAGAATAATGCTTGGCACTTAGCAGGCACTCAATAAATGTTGGCTACTACTATACTATGTATAGGGCGCCTGGGTGGCTCAGTGAGTTAAGCATCCTACTCTTGATTTCAGCTCAGGGGCTCAGGCCATGATCTCAAGGTCGTGAGATCGAGACCCCCCCCCCCTTGGGCTCTGTGCTGAGGTGGAGCCTGCTTAAGATTCTCCCTCTCCCTCTGCCCTTCCCCTCCTCACCTCCCCCACCAGCTCACACACTCACTCATGCACTCTCTTGCGCACTCTCTCTCTTGCTCTCTAAAAAAAACAAAAAATTACTATGTGTTGATTACTGTTCTATTCGATTTACATACACAATCGCCTTAAATCCTCACATCAATCCTATAAAGAAAGATTGCTGTCTCTCTTCTACATAGGAGGTCACAATCTCCAAGAGCCAAGCTTGCCCACCTGGGACATTGCCAAGTAGGGATGCAAACTTTTTGTGAATATGTAAATGCAAGGCCTGTGTCATTTCCCCTACACTACTTATGAGTTGGGCCTAGAGCCTATGGGGATCTAGGGCAAATCTGAACTTTCCCCCAGGCTGATTCTTTGGGGGTTTTGTTTTATTTTTTGAGACGGGCTGGGAGTAAATTGAACATAATTTAAAATATCCTCTGTTGGGGTGTTGGACTGATGAATTGTCCATAAGATTAGGTTCTAAATTAGAGGTCATTATATTTCAAAAGACCTTCCTCAAAACATCTAATTGGACCAGAAATCAACACTCTAGCTTTCTGTTAGAGAGACATGAGGGGCCAACAGTCAATGAGGTAACTTGGATAGAGTAAGATTTCAGTGTGAAAATATTTCCCTCTACTGGATAGTGACTAACCAACCCCATCAGATCTCTTTCTGAAGTCTCAGACTCACAGTGGACAGCAGATAGAAACACAGTAGAAGAAAAAAGATAATAGCAAGAATTATGGTACCAGATTATGGAACAATGGAAGTTGACAAGTCACTGTAAGCGGGGAAAATATGTCAGAGGCAAAGGTATATAAGAAATGTTTTATAAATTACTCAAATTTTCTTTAAAATACCAACTTTGGAAACATGTTATATTAAATCATAAAAAGAACAAAGAATTCATGTTTTAAAACAATCGTCCAATATACCAGGACTAAATAGATGATTAGATAATGAAAAACAATCTTTCACTAATTTCTGATTCTGAAAAATAGGAGTGGATCCAAAAACAGCATATGATCAAGACCCATCTGCACAAAAGCCTAACACTGCAAATGAAGTGAGGAGCTCAATATGGTTCACTCATTATCAAATGTTTCCATGACACTTCAAGAGAAGCACAAACAACAGGGGGATAAAATCTCTTTAGTTGGGCTATTAGAATTCCAATTTTGAGGCTCTCAACTGGTGGTATGTGTAATTCTTCTAAATGATGGGAATTAATTTCTGTGTTGTGACTTTTTTAAGGGATTCACCATATGGCAATAATTATTGAAACCATGAATTAAAGTAATGAAGTTATTACATTGAACTTATTGATTTATTAATTATTAAAATAAATAAAATTTAATGGATTTTTAGTTTATATAACTTTTTATCCAGTATTTTAAAAATCATAAATGCTTATGGAAACATTTCTAAGAATTCAGGATGCACATGGTGAAGAGTAAAAAATACTCCCTTCATACACATTGTACAGTCTGCAGGTGACTCCTGAAAAGCAAGCGTTTTTTTTTTTTTATTATTCTTATGTTAATCCCCATACATTACATCATTAGTTTTAGATGTAGTGTTCCATGATTCATTGTTTGTGCATAACACCCAGTGCTCCATGTAGAACGTGCCCTCCTCAATACCCACCACCAGGCCAACCCATCCTCCCACCCCCTTCCCCTCTAGAACCCTGTTTGTTTTTCAGAGTCCATCGTCTCTCATGGTTCGTCTACCCCTCTGATTTCCCCCGCTTCATTCTTCCCCTCCCGCTACCTTCTTCTTCTTTTTTTTCTTAAAATATATTGCATTATTTGTTTCAGAGGTACAGGTCTGAGATTCAACAGTCTTGCACAATTCACAGCGGAAAAGCAAGCATTTTTGACAGATTCTGTGTACCATTTCAGGAATAGTCTATATGGTATATTTAAGGAAATACATAAATACACAGGTATCTTTCAGTCCACAAATGGGTTTACACTGTACACACTGTTCTGCCACTTGATTTTTTTCTTAAGGTAACCTTGACATCTTTGTATATCAGTATCTCATTCTTTCCATGATAGCATAATATTCCATTATAGGGGCGAACCATAATTCATTTAAACATCCCCGTGCCAGCAGACATTTAGATTATCTCCATTTGTTTGGTCATTATAAACAATACTTCAAACATCCTTTCACATATTTTTGTGCAATTCTGTCGATATGTATGTAGAACACATTACTAGATGTGAATCTGGCAGGTCAAAAAATATGTGCCTTTTAAATTTAATACCTATTCTAAGAGACAAATAAAATTATTTCTTGGCCCTTATATCTGTTTTAAAAGATGCACTGCATTTGAAAATAAGAAACTGTATTTTACTAAAAATAGTATACTGCAAAAAAGATCACTACTTAAGCCAACTTTGTTGAGTCTTATCAACTTATAAAAGTTCTCCATATCTTCATACAACTTTCTTGAGGAACCAGATGCTTTCTGAAAGTGGGTATTATATATAATAATCTAAGACAGATGTAGGGAAAGAGAAAAGCCAGCAGCACATCATAATAGAGTTCGGTTCTTTATCTGACTGCCGGTCATAGCTTCATTCCTTAAAGTCTCTTTTGCTCCAGAAATAAATCTGCTGTCATTGAAACCTTCTTCATACTCCTTGATTTAATAACACAATCACCATAGTACAGATGTTTATTTTTAGCTAATTAGATAGTTAAGAGTTAAAAAAAACTACCCACCTCTCTAAAAATGAACTGTATGATAGTTCCAGGGTCTACTGGTTTATCTCCCTGGTGGACAAAAGGCTTATTGCAATTTTTATTCTAGGGAAGTTAAAATAATCATTTATTTGCAAAATTCAAAGACAAACTGCATTTTTATTAAAGAGCCAGAAAGATCCCAAAAGAAAAACAGAATTTATTACAAATATGATACACTGAAAGCACAAAGGAAGCTACACAGACTGGGTTATAAAACTAGAAAAATCCAGTAAAGGGAACCAGGGGAGCACAGCAGCAAGGCCACAGTCATCTGCCCTCCATTCAGACCCTCAAAGGAAATTCTACAACTTTATCAGTTCCAAGATGAGCCAGGGCCACAGCCTCCAAAGAGCCTGCTCTGATTTCCTCCTCCTCACAAATTACTTCTCATTTAACCTCTGTTTCTCTGAATGTTCATATACTATCAGATCTGTACTGCACCTCTTTACACTTGCATTCCTGTTTCTGTCTTACATCCTCCCCTAGCCTATGGTGTCTTTTCAGGGAAGCACATGTACCTAATCTATGTTTGTATCTCTAAGCGTGCTGTTAGAAAACTGTCGATCTCAGTTTCCTCATCAATAAAATGGGATTAATATCTACTCACGCTGCTAACAAGAGTATTCAAGGAATCCCATGAGATAACAAAGTCAAGTCGACTGTAAACTACTATATAAACAGGTGAGGGGTGCAATCAGGGAATATTTACTCAATGAGGGATTCTATCATGTCTCTTGAGCTAGGATTCTCTTAATTTATTTGCTAAGAGTAACAATTCAGGGCTATTGATTAATAATGCAGATTACTATGTTTCTGGCCCTGAAAGTTTGTTTAGGCAGCTCAGAAGTGAGATGGAGAATCTGCATTTTTACAAATACTCCATGTTTTTCTTACTCTAGGAATACACCAGAATGGTGGTTCTCAACCTTGGTTGCATATCAGAATCACCTGGGGAGCTTTTAAAATCCCAATGTCCAGGCCAACCCTCAAATCAATTAAATCATTATCTCTGGAGATGGGACACGGGCATCAGCATCTTTATAAATGCTCGAGATCATTCAACAGGACTGCAGAGATTGAGAATGCCTGCACTAGAGAATGGTTGCTCATAGCAGGGATTCCCAAAACTACTCCCCAAGCTAGAGCCTCATCCTGGTGGGCTTTGTAAACCAAATGATTCCCAGGCCTTCCCTCGGATCTATGGAATCAGAATCTCCAAGGAGGTAGGGCTTCAGGGTTTTTAGAGTTGCAAAAATTCCCCCACTGATTCTGAATACTGTATTTGGAATTACTAACCTAAAAACACTCAGTCCAATACCAAATCATCTCCATATAGAGGATACCAGAAAGACTGGGATCTTTCAGAGAATGAAAGTATCTTCCAGAACCTAGGCATTCTGTTTGGTGATCTTAGTGATTTATGAGAGAATTCATAATGACTGATGAGGCAAATACTTCACAAGTGAGAAAACACGGATTAAGAGAGAACCTTCCTACTTACTTAAACTTGGGTATGCCAGATGCCCAGTCAAGTCTCTTTACACTGGTGGTAACCAAAGAGCAGTTTCCAGCACAATAACATGTGCTTGTTAGAAATTCAAATTCACAGGGCACCTGGGCGGCTCGGTCGTTAGGCGTCTGCCTTCGGCTCAGGTCAT